TAGAAGAGTTTGGCCAGTATACGAGCATCACAATACTCACAATTTTGTGACTCATAGTATATGGAAATGCAAATTTTCCAAACAATCTGACCCAATTTCAATATAATACAAGTAGCCACTTTCTTCATAATAAACTAACCTCCTTACCACCACAATATTCTAATAAGGCCAGAATAATATTTTGAAGAAGATTAAAGATACACATAACATAAATAAATTATACCAACCACAGTCGCGAACAAAAATGTTAAATACAAGCCCTTACTATATGGCAATAAAAGTTTATAATAAATTACCACTGGAAATAAAAAACATATCAGAATTAACCAAACTTCAATCAAGCCTCAATAAATATTTAAAACAAAACCCCTTTTACTCAGTGGAAGAGTATTTAGATAAAAAATAATATCATTATGGATTTCAAATTTATGTAGCTTCTAAGTATATTTAATGTATATAAGCAGTGTCCTCGTCAAATTTGCTGTGCCTGAAAAAGGCGTCTAAGTTGTAAGCACATTTTTTATTTAAGACCAATTATGTACACTTGGATTGCAAATTAATGATTTGATTTCATTTAATTTCTTAGCGCAGGATTCAATCACATATCGGTGGATACGAATAATTAAAATCATCGTGTAAAAATAAAATGATGACTATAGTATACCTAGTTAGTAAGACAAGTTGTACTACTTGTCTTACTAACTAGGTCTTATCGTACTATCTACTTCCTACCCACAATATTAATTTAATATATATATATATATATATATATATATATATATATATATATATATATATATATATATATATATATATATATGTATGTATAATTTTAATTTTTTAGTTATCTTTTTTATTAAGTAGTTAACTTTCCACTCTTATATAACTTAGTTAATAAATTTTCTCGTCATTCCCATAATCATCATCAATTTAAATTGTAGCAATGTAAATTTTAAAATAAAAAATATAATATATAAAAATAATTAAATATTTGGTGGATGAGGCTGCTCGTCTACGTAGGAAATACTTGAAATCTGACCTACACGTGTCCCCCTTGTAGTGCTCAACGAGCAGCACCAATTCCGGTGGTAGGTTTTGGCTGCTGGCTTTCCGGTTACCACCCGCCAATGCAAAATCGTGTCGTCAAATGACGTTGTCGTTTTTCGGCATGATGCTTGGTGAAGCCATTTGGAGAATGTGTCTGAACAACAGCGTTGTGTGAGTGAATCGGGTGCGAAGCGTCCGTTGATGCTGTGTGTTGTTGCTGGGTGGTTGGTCGTGGAGGGTAGCGGGATCCAAACCACGGTGTGCCGCTGGCCCATCACAAGTAGTTGGGATCCCAATTAGTGAATAAACTATTCCTGAAAGGATAGCCCCGCGAAATAGTAAAAATCCCAGAGTGACTCCATCGTACCGGTTAGCAACCAAGCGAGAGACCCTTATGGCAATCTCGAAATTGAAGGGGGGGGGGGGTTCGGGCGTCAGCGCCGTCTCCAAATCAAGATCCCACGGGCATACTAACTCTGGTAATATAGTTTGGTTGCTAATACAACGTTTCGTTCAACTGCCCTTCTCCATCCTTATTCACTATTAACTCTGGTGTGTTTTAAAAAGAAAAGTAGGGCTAAATAACGGTTGCACGTCCTCTCATTGAAAGTGCTCCTCTTTTCGAGAATTGCACTCAAATCTCAGCGTAGTCCATCACCATCTCGAGACTGAATAGCCGCACCTACTTTTCTTGATGATGGTCTAAATTGGACTTGGATGTCCATTGACGCTTTCAATACGTACCTTACTTTACCTTACCTTTCGTACCTTGACTGAATTCTCCCTAGGACACAAATTCCATCTTGTGCCGGAGTCTGTGTGTACGTCTGCAATGAGATCTGCTTCCAACGTCTTCGTTACCTTGAAGACCCCACTTTTTCGAGAATCTGGGTGATGTTAGATACAGGTATTGATAAAATCCTTTCTTCCCGTGTCTTTCAATCGCACAGCGGTGACCAGAAGACAACTCGATTATTTGATTAGCTTAGTGAGACAGCTGACGTGGTTGTAAATCGGTATTCTACTGCACAGCTGGTCTTTCTAGGGGACTTTAACGCCTGACGCTTTAAAGACCGCTGATGATGAAGATGCTGATAGAGAAGCGTGGAATTTTGGCTTAACGCTAGGTCTTTCTCAGAGAAAGAAAAAGCGAAAAAAAGAAAGCTTTTTCTAAAGAGAAAGCGGGTTTGTTCGCGTTTCTCCTTGCCTGCAATTGACTGATCTGGACAGTGGCAACAACATTCCATTTGAATTACCTTACTACAGGACCTTTATGTCGGATGTTCGTATCACAAATAAGGAGGTTCTTAAACCCTCTAGACGTGAATAAAGCTAGTGGGCTAGATGGAATACCAGCCATAGTTCTAAAGGCTTGTGCACCTGAGTTGTCTCCGCCCCTCATTTAGGACTGGAATAGTGCCAAATCCTGGAAGCTGGCCAACTTACAACCTGTTTCCAAAAATGGACGCCGTGTTGACTCTGACAATTATCGGCCAATCTCAATTACCTCCATACTCTGCAAGATGATGGACCGTATCTCTGTGACCGCCAGTATGGGTTTTGCCAAAGCGGCCAGCTGGGGACCTTCTTACGTATGATATGCACGTATGGGGCGAGGCACTCGAGAACAGTGGGTAAGCACATGCTGTTTCCCTTGATGTCTCGAGTAGACCTTTGACAGAGTTTGGCATGCTAGCCTTTTGGGTAAGCTTCCAGCGTTCGGTTTATCACCTAGTCCTAGCCTGGTTGACTGGGTAAAGGACTTTGAGCGAACGGTCTCACCAGGTCGTCATCGATGGCTGCTCATCCGATCCTGTGGTAACTAACGCCGGTGTTCCTCAGGGGTCCGTTTTCTCCGCAACTCTCTTCCTGTTACATATTAAAGATCCGCTTATGCCCGGTATCTATGGGTATGCAGACGACAGAACAGCTGTGGAGAGATATCAACCAAGTACGCGGGCAAGTCGGGATTAAATCCAGTCCACGAGAGAAGCAATGGTTGAGCTTGTGAATCTCATACTACAGGCAGTTGCCGAATAGGACGAAGTCAATCTTGTGGCATTCAACGCTTCAAAAACACAAGCGTGTCTTTTAACTGCAAAGAGGAGCCAGCTCACCTTGCCTCCTTCTTTCCGAAATGTATTGAGGCTTGTTGGTAAGCCAAAAGGTAAGTTAAAACCAATCTTACCGGCCTCGAACACAGGAGAAATTCTACCTAGAAGTTTGGCCAGTCCACCATTTCGTTGTTGACTTACCACACATTTGAACCAAACGTTTTGCTATAGCGTTCCTCGTGCATACAGCAAAAAGTTGAATGAGTTGCCAGTATCTGTGTCCATTCGATTATAATGTGGGTGTCTTCAAGGGAAGAGTGAATAGGCTTTTGTTAAGTGGGTGCGTTTCACCATCTTAAGCAACATTACCACTTACCATCAGGTGAGATTGTAGTTAAGCGGTGACTTAGAATAGTAAAATAAACGCTTGATTATGTTTGTATCAACCCGCCTGCTGATACATCTTCAGCAGTGGACTTTTGATAGGCTTTAATTAATGGTTCAATAAATTTATCAAATACATATCCTATCATAATTTTCATGGAGATTTGAATCTAATAATAAATGAATTATGATTCCTTATGTTTACGCGACCACTACACATTTAAATAAAACTAGTTTCTACGTATATAATATAAAAAAGTTAATATACGCGATAAAATCCGTCAAAATTAGTTTTGTTCAAATATGATATTCCCTTTACCGAACAATAGCAATGAATTCAGAAGTTGAATTTCCCGTTCTACGATCAGACAACTATATCCACAAGTGAACGCGTCAATATGGCGGTACTCGTACTTTAACCTACCCGTGTCCAATAACCAATTAAAGGTGAACGCACACTATACGAGCCGAACACATCGAATGAAACGAATTTTAAAATTCATTATATGAAATCTTATGAAATATCGCACACCTGCCCGCACAGAACACTAATACCCTTAGGCGGGCCTGCCCGTGCATAATCGCTTGAATCTCGAAGAACCCCATAAATCCCAGACGAATTGGGTTTTGATGACGTCATCAGATTCGGTACGGGCGATGCGGTCGAAACGACCGATGCGCTCGCATTTTGACAGTTGCGTGCGACAGAGCAACGTGCAAATACTTCTTCATTTAAAAAAAATTGATTCTAAAGGTGACTACGCACTTGCCTGCTGCAGGGGCAATCTAAGGTGTAGGAGTGGGGATGACCTTTAATTGTGATGTGTCTATGCAAGCAGGGGCAATATCCTTTGTCGACCCTGCGGCAGGGTGGCAGGAGCGCAAGATCTTCCTTGCTTCTCTAGACCGTAGCTGCCGCTGCCGTGTGTATAGCGTAATTAGGGAAATTTTAATCAGTTCGTTAGCGACTTTCGCGCGAAGCACACAAGTCACAATGAAAAGTGAGTTACAATGAATACCAATAAAAATCGTGAAATTTGCACACTGGTGGTAGAAGTGTATAAAGAGCGGCTTCTTCACCCAGTATCTCCTTTTTCTCTTTTTTTGCGGTAGCACCGATTATTTACCGATTCATATTTTTTATTTTATTGAATAAGGTACACAAACAGACAGTAGTTATATAAAGGTCTAAAATTAAAAGTATAATTGTGTTGATCTAAACTACAATCCAAAAAAGTGTACACAGCATAATAATATAATTTTCATTGGTATTTCGATAAAACTGGCGCAATTCTTAACGCGTTTGTCCAGCGCGACGTACACTCTCATACTGAAGCTGAACGCACGCGATCGCTGTACACCCTAGATTACCCCTGCGGCAAGCAAGTGAGTATTCGCCTTTATTTAATTGAATTAGTACTTTCTTCATCTTTCATTAAAGCACAGACAATAAAAATCTCGTCAAGATCCATCCTTAAATTCACATGTAATTATAGTGCGACAGGTGTAAAGGAAATGAAAACGATTTTTTTCGGCGCGGTCGATTTCGATTCTTTCGGTGAGGATATGTGTGCGAGGCCTCCTTGACTTCGATTCGTTCAACGCGTTTGACTCGGATAAGTGAGCAATTACCTTAAAAATATATCAAAGTTTTTCACCCCAATTTCACAGTTCCTTTAAAAACTTCAATTATTATTAACTCCAGCTTGCAACAATTACCATATTTTACATATGTATAAGATGGTTATTATAAGTGATAATCTAAATTCCAGTGTACATAGTGCTATCGCCCGACCAGCACTTACGTACGCCGCGACTAGAGGATTTCTTCTGGACGGGCTCGGGTGATGGGCCTCCGCCGCCAGATGCCGCAATTCCAGCACCTTCACCTCCTACAGCCATCATACAAACCACTACTGTCCTAGCCACTGTCTACTTGGACGCATATCCGCCACAGGTTAATATTATAGGAAACGGTATACATGAAACATTAAAGTAACAACTTATATATGCCCCAGTGCACAAACTTAGCATTTCTGAGAGGGGTTTTACTACTGTGCTCAGGGAATAAGCACTCGCCATAAAATTTAACAGTACAAGAGCAAATTGATTTTGATCCCCACCAGTACCAATAGATGGTTGCAATTTCAAATGCTAATTTACTATGATCGGCAGTAAAAAAAGCATTAGGAAACATCAATTATCTAATCTAATCAATTAAGAGGAAATGTATGGATGAAATATGAAGTTCGCTAATAGACATTAGGGAAGCGTGGTGAAAAAAGACATCCAAATTTTCAAAATTCACCTGCATCCATCGACTTCCTGCATGTCTTACCAGGTCGTCACTCCCTCGAGTGGGAGGTCGCCCTACACTACGCCTACCGGTACGAGGCTGCCACTCGAGAACCTTTTTTACTTGAGAACCTTTTTGCGTAATGCTAAATATACTTATTCTTAGTTATTTAAAAAGTAATAGACATGTTGGATGTCTTGATTTATATTGAAAACTATCTTTAAAAACATTCAGAATATACGTCACGGAAAGGTATTATAAAAGCCATTATGTTTGTGAACTACATCGATACCCAATTTTAAAACAACACTTTATTAAAAATTATTAGCAACATATTACAGGCGGTGACAGACAAAACAACAGGCGACTGTGTTTTAAACTGTGGAGAAGCGGGTGTCCCGGACAGTCTAGCTCCAGAGATACCAGAAGACCGACGCTACTGGTTGCTTACCGTTATCCAAGGCTCAACGCCCGATAGTCTACAACTTAGATTGGCGAGACTGTATCAGAAAGCCTTTTTAAGGTTAGTTTCTAGTAATAACGGACGAACAAGTTTTTAATTTTACATTGATCAGCTCTTAGTATTAGTTACAATCTTAATTCTTACCAGATTATATCCATTATTTCTTTCAGACAGCAAGAGCGACATCTTGGAATAATAAAATCTCTTGACGCACCTACACCGAGAAAGAAACATGAAGTGCATTCTTTTGTCGTTAATAAAGAAAACAAATTGAATGAAATCGGCAATTATAGCTCACAAGCGCCCGAAAAATATTCAGATATGGATAGTTCTATTGCGAATGTCGACAAATTTGAACTCAGTAGCGTCACAACCATTGTTGAAAACTTTGCACCTTTCGCCAAGGATTCGTCGGTTACTTATAGTAAAGTGTTTCCGGAAAATTTAGATATATTCGAAAATAAAACAAAGTCGTCAATAGCACAAGCTGAAATTGAACCTACTAAACTAAGCGATACTGATTCATGGGTGTTAGTTACGCCCACTGTGTTCCTAAAAAAGAGAGATGTGTCTCTAATAGATAAAGATCTTATCGATATACCTTTAGAGGAGGATATTAGTAATGAAACCACACTGTTCAAAAGAGAGATTTTAAGACCAGAGCAGCAACCACCGGTGCGTGTACATATCCAAAATATAACAGAGGTAAGTTAGTTGTAAATTATTAGTAATCAAAACTGTATTATTTTATCTTATTTTGTTCTCGAATGTCATGCACATTTTAAGTACAGATAAAATTATTTAGTTTTCGTGTAAAACAGTGATTATAATACGCTCTGTCGTGCGAATAAATTGCATATCATTACATACAGAACATCCCAAGCAGCACACAAACGTTATGAACATCAATATACCAGCCCACATAAGAACTGTGTAGCGACAATAGGTTGTGTCCTTATAAGAGTGGTTTATAAGTTATTATACAGCTCAAGCTGTAGAAAGTCTGTATTATAGGATTTTAGTAACCTCGGTGTTTTTAATCAGAATATGAAAACCCTAATATTAAATATAAGTAGTTTGTAACACTTAAATCTGATTTTATGCTTAAAACTCTATAGAAGCTGTTTTTGGATGCTGTCACTTGCTTATTACAGCTCAAGTGTTATTATGATATCACTCAAATCTTATTTCTAAATAATGCAATGGGGTTGCGTAATTGTATACTCTTATAATTACAGTAGTTTTATTACTTTTGTCTGAGCATCATATAATACTGAAAAAAATAATAAATTGCCATAATACAATTTATCATCCTTATTTGGCGATGACGACAATCTCGAAAATTCGTTTGTATTGAACTTTGCTCTCTTTTCACATTTATATGAGTTTTCATAGGATGTAGTCTAACCCAGATAAATTACTCCGCCTATGATACTAGTGACACTATATTATGATAGTGTACAAATGTTTTACTTACGAACCTAGAAAGACCGAAAAAAAACACAATTTTTTTTTAATGCCGACAACGCACCTGGTGTTGTATTTCAATCAATTTATCAACTTATGTTCTCCAATACTTGAACATAAACAACATTTTTTATTAAAAAAGCGTGACATTTATACGTGGTAGAGCCACGCTACATTATACGTGGCAGAGCCACTGTGCAGCTATATTATGGTTGTAGATTCATGCTACAACCATAATATAGCTGCACTTATGCTGGTTGACCCGAACGGGTATTAACCACGCTCTCACAGAATGGCAGCGTGAAATAGCAATTTAATGTTTTGTATGACGAGTGTAGAGAACCAGAGAGCCTCTTTACTGGAAGCGAGGTATTCCATCTTAGGAATGCCTCGAGAGATATCAACGCATCTGCATTTTGATTCTGTATAGATGTAGATATCCTGAGTCACAGCTTCCACTTACCTTCAGGTGGGTTGTGTGCTCGTTTGTCACCTTATTATAAAAAGAGCTATGATTTATACAGTTTCTATAAAAAAATAGTTTTGACAGCAGCTAAAAGTATGGTGGCCAAGCCAATTGATGTGCGAGTGTGTGACAGTTGGTGTTGAGAGTTGCATGTGTGTCAGTCCGCAGAGACGGGCAGCGTGCAGATCGTGTACGTGGTGCTAGTGGGGGGGCGCGCGGTGCCGGCGGCCGTGGCGGCGCGCGACATGCGGCTGGTGCGCGACGCGGAGGTGGCGCGTGAGCTGGGCGCCGCCGTCACCACCAAGGCCGAGCGTGAGTGCTACCACCAACGCTAGTCACACCACTGGCACACCTGGGACTCATTATATATACTCGCACCAACGGAGAACCCGTGGTAGATCCGTGGTCAAGCGATCTGTTATATCCCTTACAACTTGTAAAATCGCAGCATACGTATTGCGCCTACAGCATCAGCATACTGGGGTAGCAGCCCGGAGTCAAGAAGTTGGCGGTGTTTCATCCCGTGCCTCGGAAAGCAAGTAAAGGCGTTAGTTCTGTGTCTAATCTGTATCCGGTTTTATCGGAATACCGTCATATCGGTCTATAAAAGTGAAGAAATATAGAGTGCATCTGTCCTTGCGCATAACTCTTACACTAAAATCCTGTCAAAAGGCTAGTCTCCGTTGAGACTGGCCGCCTTCACCGAAATACTATCTGGAGGCTATTATTATTATTTTTATTCTTGGACATTTTTTTGGAATGGAAGGCTAATAACTCTCCTCTGAACCCTCAAACGGGTCGGAGGAATGTTACTAAATCTTTAATTGATTTCTTACCGGTTCGTTTTAATTAGAGCCGTGGTAGTTCAGTGGTTAACGCTCGCTGTAAATATAACGAGAGTAACCCCGGTTCGATCCCCGCCGGCGCCAATGAAATTGTTAATTGCAATTTTAAGTGCTGATTTACCACGTGCTCGGCGGTGAAGGAAAACATCGTGAGGAAACCTGCATGTCTGAGGAATAAGAAAAAAAATATTTCGAAGACATGTGAAGTTCGTCAACACGCATTTGGGCAGCGCGGCGGACACTTCCTTGCCCTAAACCCTCTCAGAAATGAGGGGAGGCCTGAGCCCAGCAGTGGGACGTATATATGCTGTAACTTTACTTTACTTTACTTTCGTTTTAATTAAGTTCTATTTCAAATAAATGAGATATATTAAATAATTACTCTTTTAAAAAAAAATCTAATTTCGTAGAACCTAATTTCGCAGATCGCCGTACGATCAACCCTGGTGCGATCCTTGCACCGAGGCAAGTATTGCTTACATAATAAGTGCTGATTTATCAGTTTTTCGACGGCAAAGGAAAACATAGTTAGGAAACCTACAAATAATATTCGTGAAAATGTTGTGAAGTTGTTCAACAAAATGCAGCAGCACACCAGACAGAATTACTTTATAACCCACAGCAATAAGAGGAGACCTGTATCTAGCCGGAGGAGGTGTAAAAAATCTACGATTACGCTTTGTGGGTCGTCTAAAGTATTGCTAAAGTACTTTACTTAACTTTAGACCCACAAAGAGATAGACAGAACGCTACTTACATTTCAAGTAACACCGTAACAATGTAAGTGACATTTCAAGGAACACCGTAACAATGCTCAACTTCTAACTTAAGAGGATAGAGTAAGTCAGCTCAAATTCTAATTTCGCCCCCACTTCCCCGCTCGTCGTATGCTATGTACCGATATGTTTGTAATCATTAATACTTTAAGTAGAAAGGTCGTTAGACACTTATTTCATTAGGTTTATCATATTTATGCCTGTTTCTTAACGCCAAGCCAGCCGCTTCTTATTTTTATCACGGTTATTTCCCATTTTAATTTTACGTCGTACTGTTGCGTAATGTATATTCTGATCGTAAGCGACACAACTTCTCCCTTCAAAAGCCTAAGCGATACTAACGGGCGACAGGAATCAAGCTCAAGACGCCGATAGTTTAGGTAATTTCTTTTTTACAGTGAAAATAATGGTATTTAAAAAAAAGTAAATAACATAAGCACTGCTTTATAGTTAGTTCAGTTAGTATGCAAAGTTTCATGATCTTATTTAAAGTATTTTATGAATAACAGCGGTTTATTGTTTATTTTGGAGGTAACTTTGGATTTTTTTTCTATCGAGAAAATTTTACGAAATCGTGTTTTCGTCTAACATAATCATTAACATTAATCCTCAACTTTACCATATATTTATTTCAAAATTAATGCTGCAATATTTTCGGCATAACGAAGGATCTTGCTAAGCCATTTGACATTATATTTCCCCTTAACTTCCGAAGAAAGATGTGTGCGTTTTTCTTTCGTTAATAGCCCAAAAGTTCACTGCTGCTAATCATAAATATATTTGGTCGTACAATATATAATACTAGTTATCCAAAGTATGTTATTGATTGAAAATGATTTTAGATGTATGTACGTGAGTTTCGGCATCACTTGAAATCGTACTTAATAAATAAAGAAAGAAAGAAAGAAAGGTTTATTCTCCAAAATGACGCCATCACAAATAACATAAAAAAAACACATAATTTACAAATAATATTGGCTATACAATACAAATTACAATATACTACATATTACAAACTATACAATACCTATACTAGTATGTGTCAAGGCGTCATCTGGGAACAGGAGCACACTCAGCATAATGCCATGAATTTTTTTTCCAAGGCGCTGATTTTCAGTGTGTCCAACCAGTGACTTACCGAAATCAGTGCTATATGTATACTCATTTTATTATGTTTTAAACAGAATTATGCACAACAAGGGGGAAAGAGATAGTAACTATTTTAAGTGAGAGGGAGAGAGTAGCGTTCAAGGTCGAATGCCACTTCGACACAGCACGTCCCGTTTATGTTGCTTTCAGATGCTCTTAGAAGGTCTATACGAACACTACAAAAGGGGAGATTATTAAAATACTATATAGGGCTATATACTACACTATGTAATTATTGAAGAATATAAAAGTATATAAGAAGACAAACGCCAATTATTTCTTAATCCGAGTTTAATACATATAATTATTTCTTTAATCCGAGTTTGTATATTACTGACAGTACATCTGATGGTTAGAAGCTACTCCAGCTGAACAACTGCAACCAACTTTAAACAGAAAACGCCACAGATTAGTGGTCAATCTAAAAGTCTTAGACGAAAAATTCTTCAAACAACAAACGAACAAACTCAGACAGACTCCCTAACATGTAGAGGCGCCCGATGTAATAGTTAATAATGAAATGTGATGGTTTACAAGTGAAATATTTAATAGCAATTATAGATCCTCCCTATAGCGGGAAAAACCCATGTCAACAGTTATATTTTACGGGCTGATGATGTTGAAGAATTGGGCCTCAAAGCCCCAACCTTGCACAGGCCTCTTTTCAGTTTTGAGGTTACACAGCCATATTGCAGGTGAAGTGCACTTTAAAAATATAGCACAGGTGTGGCCAACCGGTGGCTAAAAAGAGATGGTCCTATTCTATAGAAATAGGCCTATTATTTGCATAAATTATAAACATGACATAAACTCTCACGCCTGTCACCCAGATTGGTAGGCATAGACTGCGGACTTCCATTTTGTACGATCCGTATACACCCCTTTACCCTCCTTCATATCCATACGAGTTTACATATGCTCGCATATATTTTCGTTAAGAGTACTCTTAATTTGGCCCATCTCTAATATATCGCCAATTTGGTTGATAAACTTACGTTAAAGTCGTATTTTGCCGACTCTGGTACTCACATCTGCAGTATAAATGGGCATTGTTAGTGCGTGTGTACCTAATTAATTCTTTCTGCGTGTCCAAATCATCAAAGCATTCCTTTCTTAATCCTGGTCACAATTTTCTGCTAATCACTCTTTTCTCTTATTACACAATTTTTCACCATACTTATCATTCAAAGTGATCCCAAACCATCTGTGTTATAATATCTCCTAATCTTATTAAAAATACTTTGATTCCCATTTTTTTTAAAGATTTGTACATATCACCACGCTGACACCATGCAGACGGTTTAGCTGCCGACAAAACCGACACCACTGGTATCAGTATACTCCCCCCTATTTGTGGGATAAGTATAAACATAATATTTGATTACAATTTTTGCTGTGAGTCAGTTACCAAAGCTCTGTTACGAAACTTATGAAACAGTGCCAATAAAAATTGTTGGTTGTATATTCCACATTTATTTCATCTAAATCTCTTATTTCAGTTAATTTGGACATTAATTAAGTTTTATTTAACAAATCATGAAACTTCTGCCAGCAGCGTACCTTAAGGCGGCGGAGGGACTCGAGGGGGAGGCGGAAGCGACCGGCGTCCACGGCACGGAGCTGTGGGCGCTGGCCATAGGCTCCACCATTGCCGTGCTTCTGTTGTTGGTGCTGTTTGCACTTCTATGTCTGGCTCGAAGGTATTTTTGATTTATTTTAACGTATGTATAGATATGTAGATATAGTCATCCGTCCCATTGTATAGTATGAGAGTACACCTCTGCTTCCGCCTGCGCTTGAGTACTACAATCCTAACCTGCGCAGATTGCTGGTCTACGTTGAGACGGGCCGTCGTGACCGAAATTCGGTTTGGACTAGAGAACATTAACTAAAGATGGAAACTCGGGGATAAACGCTCGACTAAAAATTTTACAGTGTGAAGCAAACTGAGTTCGATTCCCTTCCTCTTCACCAGCAGCCTTGATTGATTTGCCACGTGCTCGGCGGTGAAGGAAAGAAAGGTAGAGAATACCTTCAAGATTGAAAAATTAAAAAAAATATATTTTTAGAACGTGATGTGGCAGACTTCACAATTTAAAATTAAAATTAACAATTTAATTTGTACAGGCAGGGTACAGCGCTTGGCCTCTGAGCTACTACCACAACTATCACTTTTAATAAAAATATAAATTACTTCGCAACCTTTCCTGAAGGAGGGCGGGAGGTGCTCTTCAATCCAGGTAAGACACATCATTGTATTTAGTTAGCGGATGGTTGCGAAGTAATTTATATTTTTATTATAATGGATTTCCGCAAAGTAACGCCTAATTCTATCAATTACTATCATTTTTAATCTACAATTTTAGTACTTATATTTTAACGTAGGTTATTTATAATGTAATTGTGGATAGTTTTCTGTAAAATTTATATAGTTTTCAAATATATCATATGTATATAGTTTTCTATAGTCGTAAATATTGGTCAAAGTCGTAGTTCTTTCTTAAAAAACACTGGCTTTTCATTACCTACTTAAAAAATTACTACGGTCTCACTATGCTAGTTCGACAGTTTGATCAGAATATGGCCGACGACCTCGCATTGGATGCTACTCGCCATCATTACACGTGGTAGAGCCATGCTGCAGCTATATTATGGTTGTAGCACGAATGGGTCGGCTCGATCTGGAAGCGAGCACGCTCTTACAGTATACCAGAATTAAATAGCAGCTTAATGCTGCTGTATTTCGTGTGGTGAGTGTAGAGAACCGGAGAATCTTTTACTGAAACAAAGCATTTCATAATTCTTTTTAACCTTTAGTTCTTAGTCGAGGATTAGATTTAAACGTCTATGGGCCACAGTATTCACTTACTAAGTGGACTGCCCGCTCGCTTGTCACCCTTATTCTATAAAAATCCATTCTATTACAGTCTATCAAAAGTCCACCGCTGAACATAAGCCTCCACCTGAGATTGCCTCGTAGAGGGGATATTTGGCATAGTTGCTACGCTTGGCAGGCGGGTTGGCGACCGCAGTATTTTTTTTTTCATTATTTTGAGTTGTTATTAGGGAAATGCTGCTGCTAGTCTCCTATTCCATTTCCGTCTGTCGGCTCTGATATGAGGCAATGGATTTTACATGCTTTCTAATAATAGTACGTATTGATTATATGTTGACTGCCTCGTTGGTCTAGCGGTTGTAGTAGTGCGACTGCTGATTATAAGGTCCTGGGTTCAAATCCCGGGTCGGGCCAAAAAATTAATTTTTGAGTTTTTCTGTCAAGAAATTCTCAGTAACTGCCCGGAGTCAGTAAGTTGGCGGTGTCTTACCTCCGTGCCTCGGAAAGCACGTTAAGCCGTTTGGTCCTGCGCCTGATCTCTCTCCCGGCCGTGTCGGCTTACCGTCCCATCGGATTATGAGAGTGAGGGAATAGAGAGTGCACTTGTGCTTGCGCATTGTGCACGCCAAGTGCACACTTGGGCACTATAATCCTGTGCTACGCCGTTGGCTAGCCTCCGTTGAGGCAGGCCGCCGTGGCCGAAATTCGGTCTGGAGGACATTATTATTATTATTACATATTACGCCGTGTAGAAATGTTCAAACGTAGTTAAAAGCATTTTAGATAATTTAGGCATACGAAAGATTTCTATACACACCACTCTCCGTTCATCAGTTACACCAGTTTTGTCCACACGTTAAAAAAATCACCCAGTAATATACATTATACACACACAGATTCATCACGACATCTCTAAAACTGTACACCCGTTTGATTGATTTCGCAATGTCCCATCAAAATTTTTTCTTCATATTTTACATCTAAGTTCCGCAATAAAATGTTATCTTGTGCCCAGTTAAATGAGCGGGTATCAAGCTAATATAATATCATCATTAGTCTGATTTTTTAAAATTATTTTTTTAAAATTTAGTATTTGCTTTATTTAGAAATATTAATGCAATAGCTAACATGCATGCGTTATACATCACATATTGGTATATAGAGCAAGATTAAGCAAATAATTATGTATTGTTCCATTTTAGAAGGAGATCTCAAAAATCGGCAGCCTCGTTTCGTGCATACCGTAACGAACTCATGAGGGAAGTCGAACGCAGTGAAATGAAACAAGTGCACGATGAAAAAGACGGCAGGGTACGTTACATTTAACTCTAAATCTGCTTATTCATGAGTCTGTAATATTTTGGATACCCCTATTCTAGGTCTCATCACTACAGCCCATCCACAGTGAAGACTGCCATACTGGACTGGAAATATTTTTAAGTGTGCGCAATAAAATGTCAATTTATTTACAAAAAGAAATAAACGTAGGATAGAAATTTTATGAATGTTCCAGTTTTTTTTTTAATAGGAGGCGTAAAACGAGCATGCGGCTCACCTGATGGTAAGTGATTACCGCCGCCTATGAACAGCTGCAACACCAGGGGGATTGCAGATGCATTTATTTTTAAAAAGGAGTAGGCTCTTTTTTTGAAGGTCCCTAAGTCGTATCGGTGCGAAAAATCTCTGGTGGTAGTAGTAGCAGTATACCTATTCGCCTAGCTTAAGTTGTGGGTATATATTTTCATTTGGCTTAAAATGATTACAGATTGCATATATGGATTAAATATATTGTTTTTACTACAAACTGCCACTTTAGAGAAAGAATTAAGATTTTAGCAGAAGCGACTAACTTATCTATTGGTACCATACACACCATGTTGCATGATTATCTCAACCTCACAAAAGTTAGTGCAAGATGGGTGCCGCGAATGCTCACTGCGCTTCAAAAGCAGGCGCGGGTTGACTGTTGTAGTGAGTTTTTTGAGCTGTGTGGTGACGACCCAACAAGTGTTTTCGATAGAATGGTTTACAGGAGATGAAACGTGGGTTCACCAGTATCACCCTGAGAGTAAACAGGTGTCTATGCAATGACGCAATAACATAAAAAAGGAATTATGATCTCGGGCTCTGCCCCCCCCCCCATGTACTCGTATTGATGTCGTAGGAGACAAAAAAATATTCATTATATTTTTTTTTATTTACCCATATCGAGAATACATTGAGCTTCCCTCGTAGCCTATGTTTATACTGGCTTTCTACGCCTTTTGGACTGGAACACAACAGTGTAATTTTGCGAAAAAAAGAATAGGATGGTGGTACCTACCGACAAAGAAGTAAAACCTGTTACATGCGCTCATTAGTACCTTCAAACAATTATTTGTCTGTCAATGTGATGTTGCAGCTCATAAGTGTGGTGTCGCCGAGCAGGACCAGACCTAGCAGTACTCTACTGCCCGTCTACAGAGCTGCTAGTGCATCTAGGTATGAGCATTAGATTTCACTTGTTGCCGACCACATGGAGCCCCTGCATTTTACATCTTGATAATCTAAGGAGTGTCCATCAGCTCATTTCGTTCCGTGGGTGCCGTAAGGCGATACATGAAAGTTCAGAAAGATCGTATGATCGTCCATTGATATCTCTTATATATATCAAGACGCACAAAATTACCCAGACAGGAATGCATAATAGCATTGCGAATCCGCCTGCCAAGCATAGCAGTTATGGTAAATTCTCCATATTATGGGAAAAGCCCTTGTTGTGGCGTGGACTGTTACAGACTAAGAAATATCATATAATATATAAAAATATTCCATCCGACTAATTCACTTTTTTTTAAATTAACAAAATGTTTAAATACAGTAATAATTTCAAATTTCTAACTCGTTTAACTTTAGAAATAGACCCCGTAATTAAAACAACTTTGACGGCTTCCATTTCCTTATTATTGCATAAAAAGAATAAAAGATAATATTTGTTGTTTATATTCTACTCAAAATGTATTTTAGATAATTGATATTCTTCATGCTAGGGCAGGGGTTCCCAAACTTTTTTAGTTCGCGGCGCACTTACAGGTTTAACGTTTTGTCTCGGCGCCTTAGCAAAATGAGATAGGATAAAATACAAAGGCAACTTAGTAAATTTAACGTGTGAGTTTGGTGAACTCCATATATTTTTCAAAACGTGGGATAAATCTTGACACCGCTACTTTTATTTCCTGCCACATTTATCTTAGAGTGATATTTACTCTTTATTACAGCTACAACTGAAAACCCGGTTTATTTTGTACCTACGAATACCTAAGTTTAATTTCCGAAGATCGGTTTAAAGGAGCACTTCATGGCGCCCCACTTTACTCTCTACGACACACCAGGGCGTAGCGGCGCCCTCTTTGGGAACCCCTACGCTAGGGTAGGAAAAAAATTCGGCTATCGTGATACGGGATATTACTTTTTATTATATATGTTAAGAAAATTGTTATGATTATTTTCTAGGTATAGTATAAAGGGTTTGACGTTTGTTGTTATGTTTGTGCCCTAGTTCATCCACAACGTCGTCAGGCGTGTCGGAGGTGGCGGCAGCACTGCGGCGCCGACACAAGCGACCGCACGCTCTGAAAATAGCGCAGAAAAAGAGAGGTGAGCTACGAACGAGTGTTGACTTTAACCAACAAAAAAAACTAATTTTGAGTATATTTAGAAGCTGTCCGTGATTTACAAATTAACGTCACACTAATCTAAACCTGTAAAAATTAAAAAGAGACTATGAAAACGTACCTAGAAACCCTTACGGATTAGCTAGTGCCTTCCCTGAAACAATAACTCCGCTAAGATTACTAGTGCTTCAACTGATGTTAACCGCTTGAAGCCATCATGTGTGTTAAATTACATTAGGATTAAACTGCAAAATGGAGGCGTGAATTACGACTAGTGTTGGATAAAGAATATAACTCAAGTTCTGCTTGTGGTATACTATAACATTTTAAAAGATTACAAGTAATTCTTATTTAAAGTCAATTTCTTACTTTACCACTCTTTCGAAAAAAAGCTCTGTCCTGGGGAGAACCAGCAAGAAACACAGCGGGACTTTTTTAAAGTAAATTTTACAATATCAGTGGTCACATAATATTTACAAAATGTATTTAAGAAACAGCTTGGAAGCGACCAACTCATTCCCAGGGGTTATTATTAGAGATGGGCCGAATATGGATTTCACCGAATACGAATATTCGGCCGAATGTTCGGTAAAACTTTTACCGAACCGAATATTCGGCCGAACTTTATTCGGCAGGATCACCTCGTTACGTAATCAATTTATGTCAAAACTTGTTACCGTAAAGTGCGTGGAATTATCGCCGGACCCTGCCTATCGCTCCCCTGCCACACCTGACATGTTGTTGCATTATTTAATTCTGAGTAAATTACCGGTACCTACATGCTTAAAACATTATGCTATACAAGTAGTTTTAACCCATAAATAAAATATACTTTCAACAGTAAAATTATGAAAGACATGGCATTACTCAATTCGTACATTTAAATACAGTGGACACTTTGAGTACCACTTTAACGAATATTCGGTAATTTAGCAGAATATTCGGCCGAATACGAATATTCGGTAAAGCTGCCGAATATGCCGAACACCGAATATAAAACGAATATTCGGCCCATTCCTAGTTATTATCAACCATGTATTCATTTATATCATAATAACCGTTTTTATACAGTTTTTGTTTAAGTAAATATTTAAACTTTGTAAAAGAGAGACCTTATAAATTTTCTGGGACTTTGTTATAATAGCGTATACATTACCCCAAGAATAAATTACTGACTCTGTAGAGTCGAGAAACTGGTATCACTAGCTTGTGTTTGTTCCTACTGTTTACAGAGTGTATATCACTTTTTTTACTAAAACTATCTTTGTTTTTGTGAACATACATCATAGATATACTGAGAGGCCAAAGTTAATATATTTATTTCTTTAAATTTTTCTCTAAGAGACTCTTTCGGTTTAAGGTTATTAATAGCTCTTATGGCCCTCTTCTGCAAAACAAAAATAGTTTCTAAATCAGCCGCATTCCCCCATAGCAAAATCCCATATGACATTATACTATGGAAATAACTGAAATAAACTAGCCTAGCTATCTTGACACACTAGTGAGATCTCTAATCTTTTTTACAGCATAAGCTGCAGAGTTTAGTCTGCTTGCTAGTTTAGATATATGGGGGTCCCACTGAAGTTTAGCATCGAGAGTGATGTCAATAAAAACAAAGGATTCAACATTTGTTGTTGCAAATTTAAAACATTTAGTTTTAACGCTAAACCAATGCATTAATTTCGATATAGCATCATTCACTTCGTCACATTCAAATGACTGACGTTTAAGTATAAAAATCAAGGAAGTATCATCAGCAAATAATACTATATCATGATTATCCCCTACAAGGGAGGGTAAGTCATTAATATACACTGAAAAAGGAATGGGCCAAGAATTAAGCCCTGAGGGACACCCATGTGTTCGGGCCATCCGGAAGAGCTTGTGCCATTGATAATAACTTTCTGCACTTTATTACTTAAATATGAAATAACTAGTTTAACGTTGTTTTCAACTTTGTTTCATGTGACTAAGAAAACGCTGTCATTATTGATGTGCATACTTTGTCCGCGTGATTTGAAGTTTTTTTTTGTATGTAATTTTTTTCGTGTTTGCCTAAAATCGGTAACTGTCGTAAATGAAAATACAACTACGTGACATATTATATGGGACTACCAAGTGTTTGTTCTGAATTGCCAGTGTAATTACACACTGATGAGTTTTGGTTGTAACGAATACATACTTGCATGCAGTGGGCACGACAGACAGCCTGCTGGCGTCTGCAGGGCTGGGTTCAGGCGGTTCGGACAGCGGGCATTCGCCCACCTCCTACCTCTCCATGCCCTCACTTGCCGCCTTCCCCAGGTACTTCAGCTTACACATAAACTCATTATGTTTTCTGTATAATTCCAGATTTTCATTTATTAATTCGCTACAGCCTATTGAAAGTCTACCGCTGAATAAATACCTTCACCATAAACTACCACTTTGGCACATAGCAAGAACAGGTTTTTATTATTTTGAGTTGTAATCAGAAAGCCATCTTATGTTTCATTGCTTTTTGTCACCTCTTATGAAATCATAAGAGGTGACAAAAGTTTTTATTTTTCTATTTTATAAAGCTAAGGAATCACGAACTCACAGTCCACCTGATGGTAAATGGCTACTGCAATCTGTGGACATTTGTGGACGTCGTAAGAGGCGACAGAGGGAAACAAGTGATGGGCACAATGAAATAATAAAACTGCGGATGCAAACCCACCTGTCTAGCGTGGCAGCTATAGAAAATTTTTAAGAGGAATATCCAATCTATGGGGGAGGCTTATGTACAGCAGTAAACGTTTGATAGGTTGTAACGGTGCCGGCAGGCAATGGACACCTGCACCCATCTTCAAACAAAGAAAATAAAGAAGTAGAACAAACACATTGCATAATATATGGTAGTGGATTGTCATACGCCGTCACCACGCGGCTAATAAAAATAAACATTGAATTAAACCAGGGATTCCCAAACTATTTCGGGCAAGAGACCCCTAATCCAAAATGAACTGATATCTCAGACCCCCAGTGCTGGATTAGGCAAGCGCGGGGCCTGTAGCAAATTCTATTGAGGGAGGCAAATTCTATTGATCTGCTATGGATTCTTAAGTATAAAGTGGTAAGAAACAAATACTCTATACGTTTATTTACCATCTATAGGTTACAATTTTGTTGGTGTTAAGTAATACAGTAGTTTACTATAGGCCCTGTTTGACTCTGACAAGTACAGAAAATCACAAATGAGATTGACCTTTCGACTAAGAACGATTTTGATAAGAAACTAATAATTTAAAACTGACGATAGGTACTACACAAATAATTGTAAATCTTTTTTAGTATGTACTTACATATTTCGAAGCTTATATTGATTACAAAGTATATTATATTTTTAGGAATAGCTAATGTTATATTTTATCAATGGTGTACTAAAATCGAGAAAATACGACCAAGGATTTATTTTTTGCGATAAATGCGAAGGCTTGAGTCTTTTGGGGGTTAAACTGGACTAGATTCAGTCGCCCCCAATGCGAGACTTTGTTCAACAAAGACTTGACAGAAACAAATTTGTTCCGACTCTCGATGTGTTTCTGACTCGAAGACGTGTTCCAGAGAAATATTAGCACCGTAAGAACCGGTGCCAAATCTGAAGCACATGTCTTCAGCCCAATTGTGGGTATTCCATCAAGCCACTCGACTTGTTGACGTCTAGGGACAGGAACGCTTTGCGCACCGAGCGCTGTGTAAACAGCACATCCGTTACTGAGAACTCACACCGCAGCATGATCGGGTGTATGTTCCCCTCGTCCTCGAAAGTCTAGTTGGATGCAAAAAGAGAACCTAAAAGATCGGCTTTCTCTTTTGCGGCGTGGGCCAGCGTGTCATATTCACTGCGAAAAGATGGTAATTCTGGCTTTTGCGCACCCATGGCAAGGGATCAGAACGCACGAGCTCCCGAAGGAAGGCGACCTAGTTTCTCGCCAATTCTCCCAATGTGCTCCGACTTTGCTCTAGTGATAACTCTTTTGAAGGATCTCGAGGTAGAGTTGTACTTCTTTTTAGTGCACTAGTATTTGCATCCCGGGACAACGATGTGTCAGCTTAGGTCTTGCAAAACTCCTGATTTTGACGCGACGCAATTTTGCAGAAGCGTCCAAATCAAGGCTGCGATCTGCCACCGATAGGCACCACAGATGACGGGATGAAAAGTTCCATCCTCTGAAGCGACACATCGGCGACAAAATCAGCAACAAATTTTTGGGGATCATCATGAAAAAAAATCCCGCATCCAATCCCAATCCGCTGACCTATAGTGCCACACACGACGTCAGTCTCCCGATCGGGCACTGTACTCTGGATCAGAAAAAGCCAGGAGGGGCTTTAACGGAGACCTAATAGCCGTCCGGATGAGAAGTAAGCAGAAGGTTTAACAGGAAAGGTGTAAGATCCTTCACATCTGCAATCCGCGTGGGCGAATTGACCAGTTGTATCAGACCATATGCCAAGGCAAAGTCGTAAACAAATCTTCCCGCATGATTGGTAGTACGAGAACCGAGTCATTCGGCGTGGTGGGCGGTGAAACTTGTGCGTTTACCGTACGAAATTCTGTGTTTTATTTTACGCCAACGAAATAATCGGTTACCGATTGTCTCACGTGGATTGTCCTAGACGGAAAAGTGCAACGTTTCACGTTTTTTTGATATCAAATAATTAAATATACTACATTTTCATAAGTTTTAATCAAAAAATTACGCTTTGGCGGTAATGGGCAGGTTTGGATACGCGGGGCCCCTTTTTGCGCAGGGCCCGTAGCAATTGCTACTCTTGCTACGTGGTTAATCCGGCACTGCGGACCTCCCACAGCCAAATTATTTTAAAAATCCATGTCTACATTTTTTCTCATTGATACAAAATACTTGTGCACGCTTATCTACTTCTTGATTTTTAAAAGCACAACAATGATCCTAATAAAATATTGGTCATTCTTATAACAAGTTGGTACACGTAACACAACTTACACAGTATCTTGAAAGTCTCAAATAAGAACTTGTGTTAGTTAATAGAGGTTGATTTTTAGACCTGGTCGACCCCCAAAATCGGTTTTCGTTTATGTTGACCCCTGCAAAACTGATTTCGACCCCAAGGGCTCAATATCGACCACTTTAGGAATCCTTGAATTAAACTAATTTCACGCAACGCAAAAAAGTAAAAGTTAAATCAACGCGGCGAAATCCGTAATATTAGATAGTTTTCTTAATAACACCCTATTATTAGTTCTGTTCAGTGTCACAATAATGTTATGATAATAAATGTTAGCCCGCCAGTTTTGAAATCTTATTATTCGGAACACATAACTGTTACGTTTTTTATAGAAGTAAGGATGCAAGCATTCTACCCACATAATGGTTAAATGGATAATGGTGGATTTTATGGCTCATAGACATTAATCGCCGATTAAGAATCAAAATGAAGACCTCTGCGCCCAATGAGGCAGTTAAACAATTTTCCTATTACTAAGTTGAGCAGGCGAATGGGTGAGAACAGAGCAAATGTCCTTGAATAACTGATGCTGCTATGCATTTACAGTCTGTGGGACTTAATTTCTATGGACTTTGATTTTCCAATAGTAGGGATTTACTGTTGTTAGTACTAGTTTCATTTTTAAGTTTTGGGGGCAATGTGCGTAGGTCATATTTGTATTTGTAGAATAAACTATCTACAAAATTTCGCTATGCCTATTTTATAATTGATACATTTTATTTTGTGTCGCTTATGCAGAGGAAATACGGTGGAACCTCTTTCACGAATTCTGGAACCAGTTTCCGTCCGCCACCTTGATATCGACACGCCACCCGCCTCTCCCAAAATCTCTCCCCCTAAACCCCAAGAAAAAGAGTCAGTGCCTCGCCGACAGATGGCGTCGCAGCTTGTGAGGCTGGGCAGCATCGACAAGGACCCGGGCGTTATAGGACCTTTAGTTTGGGATTTGCACTGTCAAAGGATTAAGAGTGGTAAGTCTCTTTTTACTTCATACATACTAGTGGTCACATTACGGTCGAGATTCGACCGTATTTCGTAAAAAAATTTAGTCTATATTATGCTGATTTACCACGTGCTCTGCGGTGAAGGAAAACATCGTGAGGAAACCTGCATGTCTTAGGAATAAGAAAAAAAATATTTCGAAGATATGTGAAGTTCGCCAACACGCATTGGGGCAGCGTGGCGGACACTTCCTTGTCAACCCTCTTAGTACTGAGAGGAGGCTTGTGCCCAGCAGTGGGACGTGTATATAGGCTGTAACTTTACTTTACTTTACAATATTATGCAAACTGTATTTAACTTTTAACTGCAAATTAACTATAAATCACAGATATCTAATAAAAAAAAATAAACACTTCTATGCTTTACACACACTCCACGCACTACTTTTTGTATGTAATATATAATTGAAGTATTTGTATGTAATATGGAAATAACGAAAAATAAAACATGAATAACCATTTTTAAAATTCTTGCCTGTCTGTCTGTCCGGGATAATACATATTTGGTTTAGCAGAACCGATTGAAATGAAACTTGACGAACAGAAAGAGAGAGCAAAATCAGGAGTGATATAGGCTATATTTTATTCGAAAACTTATCGATTTTTTCTTTTAAAAATCGATAAGTAGACCAAATAAATGGTATTTGATGATTATCTTAAATCTAAATAACGCTTCATTAACAGATCCTATCCAAGCGAAGCCGAGGCCGATCGCTAGTATTATAAATTTTTTTTGCATCCACCGAAATATTTTTTGTCTCCAGAGTGTTTGTTGTAAGACATGACTATGAGAAATACCGGAAAGATTTTATGGTTCCCGATAGATGGCGGTGTAACCATCCCGTTTATGCCAGACGTTAAATGTCTAGCTGGCAACGGACTACAGCGTTGAAAGTGCAGGATGTCTGATATTGCGGTTGTCAATTGGTAGGCCCAAGCTTGGCGATTAAGGGAAATTTCCCACTTGGAGAAGCGATGAAGAAGAAAAAGAGAATGGTAGCAGCCGACCGTTTCTTACTTTTGCCGCTACTCCCCATTTTCTATCGGGGTGTATTTTTTTATTATAATGGTGACAAACGGTCACACGGTTCAACTGATGGTGAGTGGATACTGGGGGCATAGACATAGACATCAATCCACGATAAAGAATCAAAATGCAAATGTGTTGCCACCCTGATGACTAAGATGGAATGCCTCGTTTCCAGTACTCACCATAGGAAACTCAGCAGCATTAAGCTGCTATTTTACGCGAATATTCTGTTAGAGCCTGGTCCTACCCCGGTCGAGCCTATACATTCGTGATACAACAATAACATAGCTGTTGTGTGGATCTCCCACGTAAAACGTAAATCTAATATATACGAGAAAATTTTACTTTCACCTGTTAGACAACGCAAGATCTTCGCATCCTCCCTAATCGGCTTCTACAATACTCAGTAGAAGGAGGTAATTGATAGACTCACAACACTAGCACATGATGAGAGTACATAGTTAAATTAAAGTTAACAATAAGTAATTAATATTTTCGTAGATTAAGTTTTACAGACGAAATACGAAACAATCTAAATCCTATTACATCATGTAAAGTCCATTTTTACTCAACACGGATACGTCAAGTGACTCAAGCGGTAACCAAAAGTGTCGCTGGGGATATTTCTTAGCTATGTATAGAACTGTAAAAAATATTTCTAGATGTAATTTTTAGAACCCGTTCACGAGCTTTTAAATGGAGTTATTTTTGTTAAATCCTTGTTTTTATAATTTTTCTTTTTCATTGTCCCTTTAGAATTTGCTGCTTGCTAAGAAATTCCGTCATTGCACTGTACATACGAGAGGAATAAACATAATCATCGTGCTTGACAGACGAATTGGTAATGGCATTACTAGACGTTTCGCACTTTTCACGGTGCTCTCCATAGCCTCTCACGATGATAATAGTTAGATTATATGCTATTATGTGACGGATGTCATTTCTTACTGTCGTATTCGTTCGTACGACACCTTCAGGATTAAATGGGGGCGTTGTATTTTATGGTTAATACCCACACAACACGACAATTACTATATTAAAAATATTTTTTATTATTTTATGTTAAATATTTTTTAAAGAAATATTCCTTTTATATTCACATACATTCACAAACAAAGTTATTACGTGTAATATAGCTTCGAAAGCATCGAGCCCAGCTCGGTCGCAAGTGCAAGAGGCGGGCTCGTCCCGCATGAGGCAGCGCTTCAACGAGCTGATGGACGACGCGTGCTCGCTGTTCGGCAGCGCGTCCGGCGCCTCGCACCATACTTACACCATGGACACGCAGCGCGGGCAGCATGGTGAGGCAAGCAAATTTCACACGTGTAGCTTGAAACCAATCTTGTCAGCGTCGAACACAGGCGCAGAGTAGCTAGCCTCTCGGTATTCTTCATGTAATTTCGTTCTCTAGGATTTGCAAGAGGCGACTCTATGCAATGCCTGAAATATCTTATGTCTCCTGACAGATGGCGGTATTACCATCTAGTTTAAGCCAGTCTTAATATACTCTGACCGACGATGGGCGAACAAGTGTCAATGATGCAAAACCATAAAAATAAACCAATCTCACCAGTATTTAACACAAGTGAAAAGTAACCAGCCTTTCGGTTTTTGTAGAATAAGTTTCGGAGAGTGAGCACGGGAATTACATGCTTTAATTCCTCCCTCTCATCTCCACCATTGAACAATGAAACAGTCGGTTCATCCTTACATGTTTGTTGCCGATATTCCACGCATTACAATCAAACGGTTTTTTTGTCTTTTCTAATGCGTACAGCAATAATTTACCGGCGTCTGTCTTTTCGTCCGAATACAATCTAGGCCGTATAGCCGTGTAGTGGCGGTTGAGAATATCCACTACCCCATATCTTCCCGTGGGTGTCGTAAGAGGCGACAGAGGGAGACAGGCAGGAGATGGGCAGCAGCATCTTCCTAATAACAACAACAACATAATAAAAAACTGCGGTTGCCAACCTGCTCGCCAAGCGTGGCAACTATGGCAAATATCCCCCCATAAGCAACGACATAAATAAACGGCCCCCAGTCCCCGGCGGCCCCGCTATTCCTGGCTACGGTGGCGACCATGGTAACGGCGGGGCAGGGGGTGCTAAGAATCTCCGGTGGAGGTTCGGTTGCCACCTACGACGACTCGACCTGGCAACGTATAACGCACGCACCCTGGAGACTGACGAGAAGATACTGGAGCTGGAAGAAGAGGTAGACAAGTTGCGCTGGCATATTATTGGATTATCTGAGGTCCGAAGAGAGGGAGAGGACACGGTAATCCTCGAGTCCGGCAACTTGTTCTATCACCGGGAGGGCGACCATCTGTCCCAAGGAGGTGTCGGATTTATCGTCCACAAGTCCCTCGTCAACAACGTTGTAAAGATTGGGAGTGTGTCGACGAGGGTCGCGTACCTGATACTCAGAATCACCAAACGGTATTCGCTGAAGGTCATACAGGTCTACGCACCAACCTCGGCATATCCCGATGAGGAGGTGGAGGAAATGTATGAGGATATTTCTAGAGCCATGCATTCCTCCAAAACCCACTACACGGTGTTGATGGGAGACTTCAACGCAAAACTAGGCACAAGAGAAGGCGGTGAGCTGAAGTTAGGGAAATTTGGAGTAGGGCAACGGAACCGTAGGGGCCAGCAGCTGGCTGACTTTATGGAGAAAGAGGGACTCTTTATGATGAACTCTTTCTTCCAGAAGCGGCCGCACAGGAAGTGGACCTGGTCGAGCCCCGACGGTTCGACAAAAAATGAGATTGACTTCATTATGACGACCAGATGCCAACTGTTCAGTGATGTCTCAGTGATCGCAAGGGTGAAAACCGGCAGCGATCACCGAATGGTTAGAGGCACACTGAACCTAAACGTTAAGTTGGAGAGGTCTCGTCTAATGAAGTCAACGCTCCGTCCCCCCTCGTGCTCTAATCCAGAATCCCGAGACTTTTCAGCTCGAGTTACGTAACCGCTTTCAGTGCCTAGAAGATTGCAATGCAGTGGACGATATGTATGACAAGCTCGTGGATACTGTCCATGCGGTCGGAGCTAAGTTCTGCAAGACCCGCCGCAGAAGATCACAAAATCTCTCCGATCACACTCTTAATCTCATGGCTGTTAGACGGGAGATGAGGCTGCAATCGTCAACAGATTTGACAGCATACAGGCAACTGAACAGACAGATCTCCAAATGCATGCGGCAAGACTTACGCAACTTTAATACTGCTCGTATTAAAGAAGCGATCGAGCGGAACCAGGGCTCCAAAGTTTTGCCAGAGATCTGTCTGCCAGAAAGAGCCAACTGTCAAAGCTGAAGACTGAGTGTGGCAGTATCGTTTCCGGGACACCTGAGATTTTGAGTGAGATTGAGAGGTTCTATGGGCAGCTGTACACATCATCGTTGGAGCCACACGCAAGTGTGAGTAATGATACAAGAGCAAGTCTTACCCGACACTATTCCGATGATATCCCGGACGTCAGTTTGAGCGAGATTAGAATGGCTCTTCAGCACCTTAAAAACGGCAGGGCCCCAGGCGAGGATGGAATTACAGCGGAGCTTCTGAAAGCGGGTGGAACACCGGTACTTGAAGTCCTTCAGAAGCTCTTCAATTCCGTCCTCTATGGTGGCACTACTCCGGAGGCGTGGAGCAGAAGTGCGGTGGTCTTGTTCTTTAAGAAAGGCGACAACGCTCTCTTGAAGAACTACAGACCGATTTCCCTTCTGAGCCGCGTCTACGTGCTGTTTTCGAGAGTCATTACGAATCGTCTCGCACGCAGACTCGACGACTTCCAGCCTCCCGAACAAGCCGGTTTCCGAAAAGACTTCAGTACCATAGACCACATACATACCCTGCGTCAGATTGTACAGAAGACCGAGGAGTACAATCTGCCACTTTGCCTGGCGTATGTGGACTATGAGAAAGCCTTTGATTCCGTCGAAATTTGGGCGGTGCTACAGTCCCTTCAGCGGTGCCAAGTTGACTGTCGGTATATCGAGGTGCTGAAGTGTTTGTACAGTAGGGCTACGATGGCTATCCGAGTACAGAACCAGAGTTCGAAACCTATCCAACTGCAGAGAGGTGTAAGACAGGGTGACGTTATATCCCCGAAACTCTTCACCGCTGCATTGGAAGACGTTTTCAAGCTACTGGACTGGAAAGGATACGGTATTAACATCAATGGCGAGTACATCACTCACCTTCGATTTGCCGACGATATAGTCCTTATGGCAGAATCGCTGGAGGACCTTAGCACTATGCTCAATGACCTCAATGGTGTCTCCCAACGGATAGGTCTTAAGATGAACATGGACAAAACAAAGATTATGTTCAATGTCCATGTCACACCTATGCCGGTAGTTGTTGGGAGCACTATGCCCGAAGTTGTTGACGAGTACGTTTACCTGGGACAAATAGTCCGACTAGGTAAGTCCAACTTCGACCAAGAGGTCAATCGACGGATTCAACTCGGCTGGGCAGCGTTCGGGAAATTACGACACATCTTCTCGTCAGGTATACCTCAATCTCTGAAAACTAAAGTGTACAACCAGTGCGTGTTGCCAGTGATGACTTACGGATCAGAGACGTGGTCCTTCACTGCTGGCCGTATGAGGACGCTCAAGGTCGCTCAGCGAGCTATGGAGAGGGCTATGCGTGATAGACTCAGAAATGAGGATATCCGCAGTAAAACTAGAGTGACCGACATAGCCCAACGGATTAGTAAGCTGAAGTGGCAATGGGCCGGCCATATAGCTCGAAGAACCGATAACCGATGATGGGGAAGAAAGGTTCTCGAGTGGCAGCCTCGTACCGGTAGGCGTAGTGTAGGGCGACCCCCCACTAGATGGAGTGACGACCTGGTAAGACATGCAGGAAGTCGATGGATGCAGGTGGCTCAGGACCGTGCTTTGTGGCATTACTTGGGGGAGGCCTATGTTCAGCAGTGGACTTGTGAACGGCTGTAATGATGATGATGATGACAATCTAGGCGCCTTCATAGCGAGAGTTAATGGGGTTTTGTTACGGTAAGTCAGTACGATTTACCATCTAAGGCTGCATCACCACTTAGCACCAGGTAGGATTGTGGTCACGCACTGGCTTACAAGTGAAAAAGACCTACTGCCTATAATCTCGATACTGTTGTAATAAGTGACAGTGGGAAACAAACCTAATAAAGAGATGAAAATAAACCAAGAGATGGGCAGCAGAATCGTCCGTATAATAACTAAAAACGAAAACTGGTGCATTCAACTGATACCTCTCCACAGCTATGCTGTCGTCTGCATACATATATAGTATGTTTATAATTAATCGTACGCTTGCGATACTATTATGAATTCTAGTGTTTAATGAAATTATATATACCCGTGTGGCGGCGCTGTCATCGCGCCACAAGCGAAATACACCGAAGCCTAAATCACGCTATCAAAATTCCGAATCATAAACAGTATACTCGTATATAGAACTTCTCCGAACTATCACTCGGAGTGTTGGCCGCTCCCCGGGCAGAACACCTTGCCCGGCGGGAGATCTCCCCAGGTCCTTCCTCACCGGCCACAGTGGTGACCCCGACGTGATCTGAACACGCAACCTTCTGATCTGATGCTTGAGCTTCGGCCAATGTACTGAGATTATCTACTGGCATTTGCACATTCGTCGGCAACGAGGCTGCAATATCGACCTCTGGTCTGAACAGGGGGGTGATGTAGCGGCGCTGTCGTTGCACTACAAGTGAAACACACCGAAGCCTAAATCGCGCTATCAATATTCCGAATCATAAACAGTATATATAGAACTTCTCCGAACTATCACTCGGAGTGTTGGCCGCTCCCCGGGCAGAACACCTTGCCCGGCGGGAGATCTCCCCAGGTCCTTCCTCACCGGCCACACCCGTATTTATGTTATCGTCCGGAAGTCTCAAAGTTTTTTATTCGACTTTGATACACAAAATGGGTAAAATTACCTGTAATCGAATGCCCGCTTCTTCAGTCCAATCCATTCTAGATGCTATATTTACTGCATTATCCCAGATATCATAAAGTGGCTTAATATATATTATACTGTGCCGTACGCTCCGTGAGACCGCTCCGTGAGACTGTACAGATCATAATTATGCACCTTCATACCATGTAGTGTTGGTGTAAAATATCCACTACAACATATCGTTCAGTGGATGACGTAGGAGGCTTCCGAGGGAAACAACCAGCAGATAGAGACCAGAGTCTTCCTAATGACAACTAAAAATAAAAAACTGCAGCTGCTAGCAGACGCACTAACTACGGCAAATACCCATCTATGATGAAGGCCTATGTTCAGAAGGGGATTTTTGCTAAGTTGTTTTATGATGATGATGTGGATGAGCGATCATGTAATTGGCACCGGTCCCGTAGAAAATCTTGAAAAACACTTGCCCAGAAACCTTTATTTTCTTGAAAATAGTGCTTGCTTTAATGTTTGATAAATAAATTTTAAAGATATATAAATTAACAATGTTTATAATATTCTGGCAGTGAAAACTCTCATTTTTGTGCTTTGCACTTCGCCAAATGAAAGGAGTAATTTATGCTATGACTTATGCTTTCAATGACCTGCATTATTTTTCGGAAATGCCTTTTAAATGTTTCTATGAAATCAATAAAATCAAGCGAGTATTTATTTAAAAGTGTGAATATCTCTGTGTTTTCTTGTTATGTGTATGTGTGATAGACGGGACTAGATTAACCGAAAGATTAACAAAGATTAAGCAACTGACTATGGAACTCTACGACGTGAGAAAAATACGTTTTCACGCGGTTAAGAATTAAGATCATTGTAAAAAGAAAGGAGACGTCAAGATGCATTGCATATAGGAACCACTGTGTTGCTCTATTATTATTGGCCTTATTTAACATTTTACACATACACATCTAAATATTTCCGTTATAGACGTAGACCGCGTGACGCAGGCGCGGAACGAACACGTGCGAGTGACCAGCTCTCCGTGCACGCGCGGCGCCGCGCACTGCGCTCGCGGACAGTCCGCCGGCGCCGGGTGAGGAGTTCATCTCATATCTCATTTCAATATACACATTAGAATGGTACCATAGTAAAAGTAGCCGTGGTAGCTCAGATGGTTAACGCTCGCTGTAAATATAACAGAACGCGAGTAACCCGGGTTCGATCCCCGCCGGCACCAATGAAATTGTTAATTGCAATTTTAAGTGCTGATTTACCACGTGCTCGGCGGTGAAGGAAAACATCGTGAGGAAACCTGCATGTCTGAGGAATAAGAAAAAAAAATTATTTCGAAGACATGTGAAGTTCGCCAACACGCATTGGGGCAGCGCGGCGGACACTTCCTTGCCCTAAAACCCTCTCAGAAAACGAGGGGAGGCCTGTGCCCAGCAGTGGGACTTATATAGGCTGTAACTTTACTTTTTACTTTACATAGTAAAAACAGAATAGTAGGGTAACTCTCGCGCCGCACGAGATTTAAATGTCTACTGTTGCAGGGTTGTCACTGTCTTTTTTTTTAACAGCTAAGTCTCATTTAGTTTTATAAGTAGTTGTAATATTTACAAACATAATACATACGGATACGTACATATGCATCACATTTGTTAACCATATCTTTAGTTTCTTCTCACAGAATCAATGTTTGTCAAACAAAAACTCCAGCTTTACATTACGACAAATGCCAAATACTAAAATACAAGTAAATTAACTCTGAGCGTATGGTGTCAGCTCAGATTTAATGATAAAAATTATTTTGATCTGATGTGATATGATAATTAATGTACTTATGAAGTATACATATATATGTATAGATGTAGTAATATAACCTATGTATTAAAAAAAGCTAATATACTTAAACAAAGGTATATATTAATTTATTTTACAAAAAGAGAAAATAAAACGAAAAAAGACTGTTAGCAAAATTTTATTAAGTCAAACAAAGGTGATTGCAGAGCTCTGTAGTGGGCATCCCAACTCGACCCGATGTTCTTCGAGTTCGAGTTCGAGCAAGTGTCGTTGTGTGCGTGCTGTGGCTTTTGCGTACGGGTCACGTGTCAGGCACACACACAAATTGGCGGCGTTCGGTACATTTCTTAGAAGAACCCTACTATTCTGTTTTTACTATGATGGTACATACATTATAATAATCAAGAGCGTGTTGGCGGCGAAATAATCCAACTCTTTTCTTTTACTTTAAAAAGTCACCTCCAAACCACAAGTACCACAACACACCACAGTAAGATGTCGTCCTGTATCGTGGAAACGTCTTATGTACGAGTACATCAATTGCATATGGAAAAAATATATTTTATAACCCATATCAAACACATGTTTCGCACGAGATTCGAACCGGCGGCCATAAAGCGCCACAGCCAAACACTTAGCCACTGCGTCACCGAGCTGTTAATGACAGTATTTTTTACAGGATCGTCTTTACAGACACACTGCAACATATTATACTGTTCAGTAACCGTAGCATTTAAGTAATAGGTCTACCGCCGGTGTATCGATAGTCAATAATCATTAGTGACAGTAGTGCTACTCAATCACGAGTCTGCGAACTTTGTATTTAGCGCTTTTGATTTTTTTTAAATTTTAGGATCTCAAACAGATGGGAGCACCGATCCATCTTCTCTATTGAAATTAGGATGTTGATTAAAACTATTTTTTTTTACGGATTTTATCGCGTTTATTTTACTATTATTTTTAATTCCCGACGTTTCGGGCGCTTTCCAGCACCCACGGTCACGGGGGACTGAGATGACTGACGTCCCGATGTCATTTTAAAACTACAGCCAGAAATTTTCAAACTAGGACACTTGTCCCCTCGTCGTTAAACCCGGAGTAACTTCAGCTTTTTTAATTATTGTTTATGATCCGATCTGTGCAAAATGAACTGACTATGTCCTCAGGTCTTGCAGTGGTATGCTTGGGTTTAGTTTTAATTTTATTGATTATAGGATCCCAAGCAGGTGGTTACCAGCCTCCTTCTCTATTGAAATTAGGATGTTTTTTAATTTCAATAGCCTCACGTATCATCCTTGGTAGGAATCGGTGTTCTTTCGCGAGGATTTGTGGTCTATCAAATCTGATGTAATGGTTGGGGCCGTCTAGGATATGATCGCAAACTGCAGACTTCCCGGAACGTTGATGCTTCACATCAGCTATATGTTCTTTTCCGCGGGTTCTAATTGATCTTTTTGTTTGTCCTATATAAGAGAGACCACATTCACAATCAAGCTTGTACACTCCTGCATCTTGTAGAGGAATATGACACTTGACTGATGGTAGGAACTGACTAATCTTCTTCGGCGGCTTGTAGAATGTTCTAATGGAAGCTCGCTTCAAAATGTAGCCAATCTTGTCTGTGACACCTCTAACATATGGTAGTACAGCAGGCACACGCTCGACTGTGGCCGGCTTCACTCGGTCACTGTGACGTAGGCTCGGGACCCGAAGCTTGTCGTGCAGAACTTGCTTGACGTACTGAAGCTCGGCAGCTAAGTATTTGCTGTCACAGATCCCTCGTGCTCTCTGTAATCTATGATTATTTTATTAAGTTCTGTACGGATAGTACTATCACTATATCTTTGTACATCCGTTTCGGTCGAGAGCCTGGTGCCAAATAGAACGTCTCACGCTTTAAGCGTGCTTATTGCTCGCAAATGTGAACAGTTGTAGAGAATGCTCATTTTAAGCAAGCTTATGAGCATGCTTTTTTGAGCACGTCTGTACGTACCAAGATTCTAGGTATATGCGCCATAGCATTCACTTTGAGTTTAGCTAAGTCAGTGCACTTTACCACCTTCACCTGCATCACAACTTACCAACAGGTGGGACAGTCGAGTACTGGTGGCTGAGAATGGTTATAGAAAATCTACTATTAGTTGAACCGTTATTTTTAAAACATTTTCGCTCTAAATCTTGTTTTTATTAGTCTACGTAAAAAATTCAAAGTTTATGTTTTTCCTCAAATATTTCGAGGAGTTTTACCAATTCACACAATATTATTCAGTAATCGATTGTAGGTTTTGTAAATTCCTTCCTGCTTCAATAATAGAAGGGGTGTGAATGTCGGTGCGGGCGAGGGCGACAAGTCGTGCTCATGGTCACGAGCACGCACCTCGAGCGCGCGGCCACGCCCCGCGCCCGCGATCGGCCCCGCGCCCCCCGCGCGCGCCTGGCCGCACACTCCGCCACAGGTAGTGTTCCGCTCACCAGATGTCACTAGTTAGGACTAAGATGAAATTTTATATTACACAATGTCATTAATTTGAAAAGTTACTTTTAAATAAAAATTTATCAATTTCTAGAGTATTATAATAATACACAAACTGCCTCATTGGTTTGATCTTTAATTTTTTGCACATTCATTGTTTCATTTTTTGTTCATTTCAACAGGTTTTTTTTTAATTTATCTACTTTTAGAAATATTGCTAGTTTGGTTTGTTCATTTATAATTTAAAATATAACTAATATTTACAGAAAGAAACGTTAAACTTTACGTTTTTCTAATAAATCAACAAACTTTCCAACAACCCACTTGTTCGTAAATGGTAATAACTATTGGATACCAGACTGGTAACCACTACATACAAAAAAGACCGTAGATACAATGTCAGTTGTCACTGACAAGATGAAATGCTTCTCAGCCTAACTATACTTCGTTGTACCTTTCCAATCTAAACAAAGCAACCAGTGGGCGCGCTGCTACTTAGCAGCAAAAATAAGTAAGAGGGTGTTCCATACACATAAGAAATAAACCTTACTTTTTTGTTCTTGTCATTTACAAACTCCTCAATATTACGAGAGAATTTTTATATATATTTTTTTATATTATATTATTATTATTATTACTTACTACCTACATAAGAATGAGTACAGAAAAAATAAATAGACTCTCTATGCCCCTTTAAATCGAAACATATGATATATAAAAATACGCCGTGTAGACCCATCTTTTTATAAAGAAAATTTTACAATAAAATAAAGGTACTTACTTGAAAAAGTTATAATGAAATATTTACTTACTTATTGTACTCCTTGGGATAGTTAAAGTATGATATATTTTTATTTTTTTCTGGTATTATTCACACAGTACAATAAACAACCATTATTAATAATACCACGTTTTTACATTAAAATATTCAAATTTGCAACTGACGAAACAAACAATGTGCGTCGCACGCACCCTGAGATTTGTCAACTGGCTTTACCAGCATAATCGATTTTTTCCAGTTTCGCCGTGTACGCGACAAGCGGCCAGTGGTCACGCACACATGCCCCGCGCGCTTGTAGTAGTGCAACCGTTTATCTACTCATGTGACATGAGTCCACGAATTGCTCGTCTTTCTATGATCTTAACCATCTAAAATTTTAATATGATTTTGATAAAACCTGAACCTCCTGTCCCACAGTCATTGGGCACCCGGCTACCGCCAGCGCCCACAGTAAATCCAGCGATTATTTTAGCAGAAGGACGACTACCGCCAGACGATCCAGCTTTACCTCTTATATCCGCCATTAAGAACGAAATACAACGGGTTCGAGAAAACGCCACAAAATCTAATACTTAGATAATATAATATAAAATCTTAGTAAAATAAGGTACATATTAATATTCTTTTTATTAATATTTATAGTTATAACACTAGTAGCTCTTTAAACAATGATCAGTGATCTAAAAGCTGTACAGTTAGTTATAAATCAAGTTTAAAAGTAAAGTAACAGTCTATGTACGTCCCACAACTGAGCGCAAGCTCTTTCTCTCACTTTCTTATAATAATACAAAGAAAATCATCCGCACATAGGTATAAGTGTAGCCCAGGCTAACAGACTACTATGTATAAGTATTACTAGACCGGCTATTTTAAGTGCTGATTTACCACATGCTCTACGGTGAAGGAAATCATCGTGAGGAAACCTGCATGTCTGAGCAATAAGAAAAAATAACATTTCGAAAACGTGTGAAGTTCGCCAACACGCGTTAGACACCTCCTTGCCTCTCAGAAATGAGAGGAGGCCTGTGCCCAGCAGTGGGACGTATATAGACTATACCTTTACTTTACTTTACTGTTTTTAGGCAAATACACTTATCTGAAATAAACTTCAAATACAGGTTGACAAAGTGCGCAAATAAATAATGACAGCGTTTTCTTGTAACATAAAACAGAATCAGTATCAGATTGTCGAAAACAACGTTAGTGATTTATAAAAGAAAAAACCTAGTGCGCTATGTAGTATAGAAGTATTTGCAGGCCGGTAAGTTTAAAGAGGTAATGTTTGTGGCCAACTTAAAATTATAAAAATCTTTGAAATGTTAATTATAATAACCTAGGCTTAAATTTACGTACGTATATAACGGGTAGTTCTAGGTAGTTCTTTTTCAATCAACTTGTTTTAACAATGTTTACTAGCAATCTAGATATTTGGTGAAATTATCACCACAGTAGTTATAATTCCTTAATCAATGTGTCAAAAAATCACTTATATTTCGAATTAGAAATTTGACAAATATTATTGATAAGTTTCTTCCATTATTATCATTTTGTGATTGTCTATAGAAGTTTGTTATATTTGTGCAATATTGAACTTGTTGGAATATCGTTATCATTATGATGTTTTATGTAATGAGTTTTGATATTATTTACAGTTAAAATGTTTGTATACGTCCTTATTTAACGTTCGTCACTAACTTTTTTGTAATGTTATATGAGTAGGTTTTCTGAAATCAATGTCAATACTTTATTAAAATTATATAGTATTAAGTACCTTCTACAATGTAAGTATATCTCTACCAAAGAATTCTTTTTGGAAACAATGTTCTTTTTTATTGAAGTTAATATATTATTTCATTTCAAAACAAAATATGCGTGTTTCATTGAGCAAAAAAACAATAGTAATTTGTGCAGTTCTTTATTTTGTACTTTTCAATATAAAAACCTTACGACTCTAATAAGTTAATATGATCATCCTATTTACATATATACATCGCCAACCGTTTAAAGATTTATCACATAATTAAAATGATTGCCAACAGTAAATAAAATTAATAATAAAAAATGTGTTGCCATAACAATCCCCACAAAATCAAGTGCTTTGGATGTGAATCAATGAAAATCATAAACCGTGCAGTGTTTAACAAATTAATTTGAATATTACTAAAAAAAATTTTCAAATTTAAGAATCATTATTCATAGGCCCAGTCATAACATACAGCGTACGTTTTTGAACACAACATCACCCGCAAGTCATAGATAAAATACACTAAGGTAAGAAATACAAATAGATGACGTATGTCACAATGGTCTGAAGGTGTCTAAACTTGTTACACATAATATTTAACAACTCTGATATGTGCGTCGGCTAAATGTTATTTTAGTTAAACATAGATTTCACGGTCGTCATCAAACTATCTCAACCAGAAAAAATGTTTTACTGCAACGCTTTACATTTTCTCCCTTGTAACGAATTTTTAATTAATAGCAAATTTTTGGCATGCATAATAAATACAACATTATAAATATTTACACAACAACCTAATTAGATTTGTAACCATAAACATTTTGAGTGTATGTTGAAATATAAATACATTAGAGATTAATCCAATTAAATAATTAAACCCAGCCTACTTACCCTGACCTAACAATAAATAACATAATGCTACAAATAACATTTATAACTAGGGCCTGCGCTCACAGACGGCACGGCATGTGGCGACAGGATCCTTCGGCATACCCATGTGCGCCTTACATTGGTAGGCCGAAGGATCCTGTCGCCTCCCACGGCATGCCAACAAGTCAAGACGCGCTCGTGCACCGGGCGCTCGCGCGAGTCGCTGAGATTGTTGCGCCGCAACGGGCTAGTTTAAGAGCTTGTTTACACCACCAATGAGTGTAATGAAAACGCTAACTCGTGGCTCGCCTCACAGCTCGCCTCGCCACTCGCGGCGCTCGCGTCGGAGGCGTTTTTTTAGGCACGAGTCAAAGGGCCTCGCGACTCGCGAGGGACGCGAGCGCGGTGTTTACACTCGCGCTCTCGTTTGGTTATAACATTTTATTTTATTATATTACGAGGTGATGCAGCGGCGTTCACGGCAATCCATGGAATGCCGTGACGTGCCGCAGGTTGCCACGGTGTCTCGCGAGAGGTTTCGGCCTATTCGTGTCGAAGTAAAAGAATGTCAATGCTAATATCATTAAAATAAGGTCGAACATCTTCTGTCCATGAAAAAAATCCCTTGAAACGCCGTGCAAGCCGGCGTGAGCGCAAACTCCCACACAATTTTTAAAAGCAAACATTAAACAATGAAATTAGGATGAGGTTTTCAAACATTTCTATCAAATTTTGATGTTTTGCAATTAAGTTTTAAACGTCTTTCAAAAATTTTCATGTCACACAAAATAAATACAGCAACAAGTTACATTTTGGTTTATAGACTTTTTAACCAATGCTAAGCTTATAAAAACAAATTTCAATTTTAAAATACTATCTATACTGAATATTAACAATATTATATACACTAAGGACTCGGTTATAGTTAGTGCAAGTTCCTCAGAATGCGGTTCCAGCATTATTCAGATATTTAAAAAAGTAGCCTCTGGATGACACTGGAGATAAAGAGGAATTTAAAAACACTTCACTACTCAAAATTCGTCGAGCCGTTTCGTCTATAGTATATAATAAATACATATATATCCATTAATTTATTCATTATTACCGAATCGAAAGTCCGCAATAGAAGCATAGGCATCCCCCATACTTTGTCTCATACCACATAGCTACCACGCTTAGCAGGCGGATGGGCAAACATATTTTTTTATTATTTTGAGTCGTTATCAGAAAGATACCGGTGCTCGTCTCCAGTTTCAGTTTCCCTCTGTCACCTCTTACGATACCCATGGACTGATAGGGGTAGACCTACCACTCCATACGCCTCTCTCTTACACCACCACACCACACAGCGATATTATACAAATATACACACTAAAAAACCCCAAACATTACCCGCGAAACGGGGCAGAAAGAAAGAAAAGCCAGATATCAATGTGTCCACTATAAAGTAAACATTCACATTTACGTTATTATTTTAATACATAACAAAACTACGTCAATTCGTAATTTTGTACGAGTATTAATTTACTTAACACAAATTCGCTCACACAGACAGCTATGAAACTTTCTGCCTAATATAAGTACCTCAAGTTGTCATTAACATGTTTATTTTTTGAAAAAAGAATCTTACTGTTCTAATATTTACATTTAATTTCTTCAATTAACTAAGCATTTTTCCCCAAACATAACTACTGTACAGGTCTATTGCGACGGCAACACAAATGTAATTTTTTCAAATATTATGCAGGTCAGTCTTACAGCAAAATTGATCTCAAAAATAATTTAACTTCACTTTGGCCTGCCATGTGTCGATTCTTAATACATACAATTGCACTAGACTATCGTAAAAAACGTGATGGAAGATTATTCCTAACTATGATACAAGTATAATCAGGCACGTATCTCTTAGGCCTCATAACATTAGGGCGTTACTAGTTTATTTTAAAAACTGTTATTCCACACAAATAGGTAGAGTCTAGACATGGTAATGAATAGGTAATATAAGTATTACACGTAACTTGAAACATAATGAAGATCTATGTTTTTACATTTAAATACTTAACAATATGCTAAGTTTGATCAACATTCTTAAAATTGAATATATTTGGTAAAATGAATTTTGTTTCAAATTCAAATTTATGTATGAATAATATATCAAATTTGGTTTTAATTTTTCACGGTGTGTTCAGTACCACATATATTTTTCTTACTTTATCGATGCTATTCCTGAAATTTGAAATTAGTTTTTTTTTTTCGCCTAAAATTAAATTCCTGATTATGCCCTACTTAAACGCCCCACTCACGCCATATAATATTTCACTGGAGTGCCACATGAACAGTTTTCAACCACTGTTTTACAGTTGGTTCGGTTCTGTTTTTATTTGCTATGAAGTGGACTGCATCGGCTGCGGCGCGAGTCTCCGCCATTGATTTGGTTGGTGCTCTTGTGCTGATTCTTCTTCCTGTAATTAAAAACAATCGGTATATATTATTGTGAATTTAAAGGATTTTGAAATGTGTTAGAGCCACCCTGCAGTTGTAAATTTTTGTTTATTGTAAATAACCTGTTTTTCTTCTTAATACGAGACATCTTAATAGATGCCAATACCTCGCCCATGAAGGTTAGAGAACAGGAGAACGATCGCTACGTACTAAAGCATAGCCCGCCTGTCCTTGAAAATTTGTAGAATTTATAGCGGCGCTGACGTCGTTGAGCAGTGACTACGAAGTTAGCTGTTTATGAGTACAAGTAGGTGAAGTTAGTTGAATAATGTACAAATTTTCTTCGCGACATTGGTGAGAAAACTTTCATGCTCCGTAATGTTTTAATTTTTGACAAAAAGAAACATTAAAAATGGAGAAATATTTTATTGTGCGTGGACGTGCAAGTGGTTTAGCATCTGATCGGAAAAAAGAGAGTGAAAATGAGTTTTATTGAGCGAACTTAGCGATCGCAGCGCCTCACTTAAGGTGTCCATATTTCTGGGACACTATTTTCTACGGCGATCGTTCTCCTGTTCTCTAATCTCCTTGACCCCGCCTATGAAATGAGGGCACTACGACTTTTCCCGCCACAAGGGTACACAGGGGGCACTACTTTGGAAAAAGATTAAGCCTGTGTTCCGTACCCAATACCGGCGAATGCAAATGACGTAATTAATTGACGTCATATTGTGTCGGATATCCCGCCATATTAAAACAATTTTTAATTGTGTGTACGATGAATGAAGCATGCCAGAATTTGTTTTTATTTATTCAAATACAAAAAATGGCAAAACTTAAACAGTTAAATCTGTCCGATGAGTAATCATACTCATTCTTTGTTACTGAGGAAGAGTGGTCAAGAGCTTGTATGATGTCATATACTGGGCAATGTTTTGAAACGAATCACCAGTAAAGTCGATTTATGACGTCATTTGCATTGGCCAGTTACTGGGTTCTATCTTGGAACACAGGCTAAATATTTGACAGATCTCATGGCGGCGAAGTCAGATGTTAGAAAAGTGTAAGTTTAATAATTTTTTTATTTAATATTAGTTATGTTGTGTACTGATAAAAAAAATAGAAATGTTACCAAACTATGGACATTCCTAAAAGTAGAAAAATTCATTGAGTTAAAAAAATCTATCACTACCACTAAATATTAGATTTGCGTTTATATGTATAAATGCTAAAAATATTTTATTTTAACGAAACTTTTTAATGATGATGGCACTATGCGAACACCTGTCTGACATAATAAGTTCACTCAGTCTCAACTAGCAACATATAGCAAGTGGATAATTATTGGACCTCATTGCGATCGCTGCACACAAGTCTGTTCCAAGTATTAAGACGAGCAAACTTACCTGTATAATGGTTATAGAGACTGTGTCCGGCTTGATATCTTCTAGAAGCTTATGAGTATCGTCTGATTGCTCCAAGTTCTCCATATTCCTGAAAACAAAGATCGTAATGTTTATTTTTTCTATAGGATAGGGTGACAAACGAGCACACAATCCACCTGATGGTAAGTGGTTGCTATGGCCTATAGACATCTACATGTATCCTCGATTACGAATCTAAATGCAGATGCGTTGTCACCCGTGAGAATTTGGACGGAATGCCTCGTTTCCAGTAAAAGGGTCTCCGGTTCTCTACACTCACCATACGAAACACAGCAACATTAAGCTGCTGTTTCACGCTGGTATTCTGTGGGAGCGTGATCTTTTCCCTATCTCTGTGTCACTATATTGCAATATTTACGAATGACTATTTTATAATATACATATACCATACTAGCACAGTTTAAATAATTAACCTTTTACCCGCGGCTCCGCTCGCAATTATTTAAAAACCTACGAATTTTTTGTTGCACCATATCTCAAAAAGACTAATTTGCTATAGACTAAAACTTACTTTATATAAAAAATAGTCTAATGTCCTATTTTGGATCGTTATCTACAACCTTGCGTAGTTTTATCAAAATCCGTTCAGAAGATATTACGTGATTGGGCTAGAAAAATCTAAACGTTCACATTTAAAAGTTTCTTACTCTTCTGAACTATTGTAAATATTAATATAAAAAAGGTAACCTAATGTGAGTCAGTGGTTATAATTAAGAAAAATCAACGCCGATGATCACAATATATTTCGTCGTCATTCGTCGGAAGTGGTGTAGATGAGAACATAATATATCAAATGCATGCTCAAGCCTCTATAGTGATAAAAAATTAATTCACTCCGCAGATCGTGTTTGGCATTTTTTGAGGGAGGCCTATGTTCAGCAGTGGACTTGTTAAAGGCTGTAATGATGATGATGATAAGGAATTTTTAATAATTTTTCACTCAGCACACCATATTTCTGTTAAAAATTAATAAATCTATTGTAGAAAGCGTCTGTAGTGGTTTTTAGATAACAATAGAACTGATTAATAGCATACAGCAAATCAAGGTTAAAACTTACTTTCTACTTCCCGAATGGAATCGTCCGCCTTCACCCCGTATCCTGTTCATTGCGTGCCTGTGCCTGGATTCGTGTAGATATTTCTGAAATTAAAATATGTATTTTTAATGGATATTTCCTATAATGAGTCGTGGCAGCTCAGATATTCGATCCACGTCGGTATACAATATAACTTCAAAGTGCAGTTTGATGTTGATTGTTGATGTATCACGTATGGTGTAAAAAAAAAGCGTGTTAGAAATAAAAAATATTTCGACGTCATAATTTGAAATACACTAACACATACAGAATGTGAAATTATTTTATACTATTTAGTTCTTTAAAGTTGGTTTTTACTTTGTATAATAAGTTATATTTTATTCAATAGTATAAATATCAAATAATGAAGTTTTATTATTGTGCCACGATCACTGTAACTCGTCTGCCAGGTAATGTCCGTTCAGTCACGCAGTACACAATGATTTCAAAAGGAAGGATAGGCCCGGGCCATCTAAACATTTTACTCATAAGTTTTTCATAAAAGAAAAAGTAGCGCATCTGTCATAATACAAACGTCATATCATAACACGACGTAATCAGGGTCGGATTTCGTAGCATAATTATCCTAATTGTACCATTATTTCATAGTTATAATACAAGTATATAGTATCGTAATAATACTAAGCGAAAATACCATAATTTTACCTAAAGGTCGACTTGTATTATTCTTGGGTCCTTTTACTTTTTAATATTAACACTACGATATCGATAATTTCTGTATTGTAAGTACCGCGTTTTTAAAAAACAAATTAGAATTAGCTCCCTTTCTAGTCAATCGATGCTCGATCGATGCATTTACATTGCATCCTTGATACAACTATAATCAGGGGCTACCACGATAAAAACTCTATGATCCAGGAGCAATCGGTTTAAAAACAGAATTTCAAAATATTTTATGAATCAGAGTTTCAGATTCAATTAAGCAGATATGGTTTCTTTTGTACTCTTTTCGTTTACCCTTTTTGATTATAAAATATATTAGGTACCATATATTCAAAATTTAACTTACACTAAGTTCTTTAGACAAAAGTTTAACAGAAATAACAATTTAAAAAACGAAACGTGTAGATAACTAGACGCGTGATAAAACCCAGTTTGGGCGTTTGGCAAAATTCACACGATATTTTATACTAACAGCATTTCCTCACCTAAAAAGTAGCATTTAAAATTGGTATAAACATTACATTCTCTTTAAAAACTAGACGCGTGACGCTAAAATCCCGGCACATGGGAAAAAAGAAACATGAAACGTCAAACGTGATATAATTTTTTTTAAATATTACAATTTTATTTTCCATGTACAATATTTTTGAGGGTCTGAATCCAACCCTGGCCTAATCTTGGTAACATAACTAAACTAACTGTAAAATACAACTTCAAAAATGCTTTTATATAATAATTTTACTGTAACAAAATTAATATAAGGTTATTTACCGATGACACGATATGTTATGTTCCTTTTTAATGTTTGTATCGTAATTTTTGCATCCTTTTACCATGCAACTAGACATATTAATGACAGGCAAATCTGTCCTGCGCGCGCACTACTGTCGATCGATTCGCGTTGGCCCTAAACTGTAATTTTAGGGCTTAGAGCTCTGGTCCGTTTTAGTTGTTCGGTCGGCCCGGTCCTTACGCTAGTAATATATAAGTCAATGGTAGTTCATTGCTCGTTTATTCCGTTCATTCATGCAATGCGTGTGCTCACCGGTCGTTCCTTGGGTATCTTGCCGAGCTCGTGAAGGCGCGCGCGCGCTGCTCGTCGCTTGAGGATGCGCTTGTACTGGCGCGCGTTCACGTACAGCAGCGGCTCCTCGTCCGACGCGCAGCCCGCGCCCTCCGACCCCGCGCCAACGCCCGCGCCCGCGCCGCCGCCCGCAGCCCCGCCGGACCCGTTAACCATCTGCTCCACGGAACAGAACCATTCGTTACGTATCAAATTATTGCACTAAAACAAATCGAAAACTAACATACATAACAGAAAAAAATAAAACTACACAACTAAACTAAAAGAGAAACTAGCCTTTATACGTCCCACTGCAAGGCACAGAACTTCTCTTATTTCTTAGATTAAAAGCAACGCTACCTCGCTGCCATTGTGTTAGCAGACTTCACATATCTAGACTTAATTTCATTTCATGATAAATCAGTACTTAAAATTATAATTCACAATTTTATTGGTGCTGTGCTGCACTACTACGCCTTAAAATAATTTCCATTTTAGAACTTTTTGAATGGATTGAGCAAAATCACAACTAAGATAAAAATTCCTTAGACGTGTGACTTTTTTTAATTAAGGTAATATAAAAAGTATATGTAAATAATAAATACTTAATAAATAAATAAAAAATACATGCAAGACGCCTCACAAAGCTTTACCTCATCGCTGAGTACATGGTAAATCAGCACTTAAAATTACAATTAATAATATACTATACTAAATATTAAAAAGCCAACATTTAGAATAAACATATTAATTACGGATTAATACTACATATATCTATATGTATTATCGTCGATGGTGTGTCTTACCTGGAATAGTGGTGTTGGAAGTAGTGGTGCCGGGAGTAATGGTGTTGGGAGTATTTGTGCTGGGACTAGTGGTGACGGAGTTAGTGCATGCAATTGAGGTAGGGCAGGAGGTGCTTTTCAATCCAGGTAAGACATCATTGTATTTAGTTGGCGGAAGGTTGCGAAGTAATTAATATCTTTATTATAATGGATTTCCGCAAAGTAACACCTGATTGTATCAATTATCAACATTTAGAAGTATATGAGACATACGAACCATGACTATATTTGGTTGGTTGACGACCTGCTGCTGCTGAACTGCACCGCTAACCCCAGCCAATTGCACCAGGTTGCCATTTAAGTTAATCACTGCAAGAAAAATAAAATTAAATAAATATTGTCGGGCATGCTATAACACATATTGGCCTCCGGGGGAGAGCGAGTGCTGGTAGTTTATTTGTTATGTTTGTTCACATCTAAGCTGCAACTAAAAAAGATAAATATCCACAGCCACGGCATCTATTTACTATCAGATGGACGGTAACCAGAGGCAATCTCGGATTTAAATATGTACGTTACATGAACAATAAAAATAAGTGTATGAGGCGAAAATGCTGATCAGGCGATATGTGCGGTTGCACCGTACAAAATAAACTACACAATGTTAAAATGTGAGTTACATATTCTGATCTAGGCTAGTGGTTGTTTATCGGTGGTCAGCACCACCAACGGTGTCGTCGAACAATTCTCTCACATAAAAATTAAGTAATAAAAGATAAAGAAAGTAATTAAATATTTTTAACAAACGCTATGCTAAAATAAATAAAACAACGACACACATACCATTTTTTCAAAGAGTATCCTAATGTTATATTTAAGTTCAAATATTATTGCAGTTTTTGAAAATACGATTAAATAAGGCTTCAACTTTAATTTGAAATTATCCCAATTTGAATGTGATTTATGTACAACAAGTACGCATTACTTTGTTTTTGGCAACCGAGCCACCCTTACGAATGTGCGTGCATGAGTAGTAAAACACTAGGCGTTAGATATTTATGAACGAAAATTATATAAAATAATTCTAGTTTTAAATTTAAAAGGTAAAAAGGACAGAACGCTTGAGATTTTTTTTTAAATTAATTTTTCTTTACCATTCGTGCTTACCCTGAACCTTCTCTGCAAATTTTAGCTTATATTGCAAAATAAAACTGTATACATTTTTATATGTGCTTTACTCATTGTATGAACATAAAAATCTACCTAACCATAATTTATAATATGTCTAAAAGATGGTATGTGGCAAGACGAAAATCGATCAAATGGACTCAAATTTTCACATTGTGGAGTTTGAGTTTAAACTCAAAATTGTTCCTAAATCCCAGGCGTAGGATCTGAGGTTTTAATAGCGTCTATCAGTATTCCTGTGCTAACCTGTGGGTTGGTGCATGAGGTGGTGGTCCACGGCGGGCTGCTGAGCGGCACCGGCCTGGTAGAGAAACGTCTGCCCGTCCGCCGTTTGCACCAGCTGCATGGGCTGCACACTGCCGCTTGCGCCTGCAGTTATAACCACCTCTAAACCACCACTATAATATTAACTAAAAATATTGTTAATATAAATATTTTTAACATACTGTCCTTTAGTAGACGTACTACGTAACTTAGTTACGCACAATTTGTGCTGAGCCAGGCAAGGAAAATTCATTGTTTCTTTTTCAGGAATAGGAAAATTAAAAATAATTAATTACCTTGTAAACTAGATATTGGTAACACTTGTAACTGTTGCAATTGTTGGCCGTTAGGAGTCGCTACCTGCAAAGTGAAAAGGAATAAAGATAATATTAGTAATTAAGTAATAGCTTACAACTTACACAATATTGAAACGCATTCATTCTATTTATAGTCTACGTGTACTGCATGTTCAAAAACTTTTTAACTGCTTTTCTTTGTTATAAAATTACAAATTTCTACCCATGAATATTGTAGATACTTGTTATAAATCGACTCTCTACAATCCTACTTTTTTTACTCGACTTTTTCTACAATTTACCCATCCGGGTCTCACGCTTGTCACCCAGCGGGTATATATATTATGTAATAAATACTCTGTTTCCACGCTGCATTTAAAACATGCTTACATATATATTCCATATGCAAATGATTATTGTATCGACGTGTCTTTGCTAGATAAAAAACATTGGAAAATGAATTGAGTGGTATGTTATGTGCAAGATAATATAAATGACATGCAAAAATAAAAATTCCGCAATAGGTCGTGTTACAATTATTACCAATTTTTTATCAATAGTGAAGTGAATTGGAAAAGATTATGTTTTAACTTCAACAGTAATATTTCGAGTTATGTACATGTACAACTAAACTGTTTAGTCAGTGACATTTACCAAGCAGCCTGCACAAAAGCCATCGAGTCCTGTCAGCCACTCCTTTAAAGGAGGATCGCCCACTGGCTAGAATACAGACCTGGGCAGAAGGTTGCATTAACACTAGCAGATACTATTTTCTTTATTTGATTTAGAAATAATATAATTGTACTAATGACGTAATCATATAACGACTCCGTGTAGTAACAACGTAAGAGAATTCACCACCCCAAATCATTCCGTAGCTGTCGTCATAAAAGGGCAGCAGCGTTTTCTGACTACTGCAGTCTATGAATAGACTAAAAATAAAAAAATTTAAAATAAAATTTAAAAATTAAAAAAAGAAGGTTTATGGCTCTGAGATGATCGCTAGTAATATATGATGGTAAACTGTTTTCAAAAAAAAAAATGTCCCCCTGGGTTTCTAGCTGTTTCTTCTCAGAACAGAGGTATTTCCCGAACCAATGGTAAATTAAACATAAGAATGACTTTTAATAAGTATTATTTTGTAATCTATATTAAATAAAAGAGTTTATATTTCTATTTCATAAAAGGATCACTTGGTAAAATTATTAAATTATTTTCTCTAATGTTCCCATTTAAATAGATAGTTAATTGCATAGAATACTATAATACACACTAGAATGGCTGTCAACGTTATTTTGTACGACGATAGGCATCGCCGGGAGCACACATACAATCAATTACGTCGTATCATCAGTACAAACCAGATTCGCTGTGTTGACAGACGGATTTTAATACATATTCATTTGTAAATAGCGTGCAGTTTGGCATTTTCTAAATAATTTGCATGCGAAATTTGGAAACGATTGTAACGCCAAAACACATCTCGTGTTGACATTTATACGTGTGAATTGACATGTTAGTGACATTTTAGTGGCTACACGGGCTCCGCCCACTCCCCCCTTCTATTATGTATGTATTATAGTATTCTATGGGTAATTGTGACACGACATAAAGCTGGTGCAACCATAAAACGGCAAAAAAATCTTAGCAAAGCTATGAAAATGATACTACCACCTGGATCTGAGGAGCTCCGATCTGCGTGCATGTAGAAATAATGTTCATTTGTTATTTTTTTTTATAAAATGTGTAAGATTTGAAATAGCATGGTAGTACTGGATTATATAAACGATTTTATTATCATTCCATTTTTTATCGTTTTTATGTCCCTTGAAATTAAAAAATAATGTTTACCACACCCGAATCTGGGGTGTGGTGTTTTAATTTATAAGGAGAAGCAAAAAAGCATGCCGATTTCTTGACAGCAAGTGAGATATAATATAAGATACAACTTTTTGAGTTTCTGTGAACAGCAGTACAATGCTATGTCAAACCATTCGTATTTACAGAAATATAATGTTGAAATGATTGAAAAATTTGCAAATGTTTCGTTCACTGATGGAGGGAATGAAATAATATCCAAGCTAAAACATGCAGGGCCAAGTATAAGGTGAAAGTGATAATTGTATAATAATCTAATAGAAGTAGGTATATAGGGTTGTAATTTGTTTGATATCTACATACATACTACTTTAGTGACGATTTATTTTATATTAATAGCGACAATTTCAAAAATATGTAGCATAAAGTGTCAGGGAGTTACAGTAACCACAAATGCCAAAGAAACCATACCTGAATAGCTTGAGCAGTAGATGGAATAGTGTGAACGACAATTTGCTGTCCGTTGGGACCTTGTATCATGTGGGGGCCGTTACTCATTTGCAACACCTGCATCTGCTGACCATTGATGGTCATCACCTGAGCACCGTCAGAGTTCTGTATCTGAGCGTGCTCCATTTTCTGCTGCAAAAATAAATATTAAGCGCTGAATTTAAAACGCTGACGATGTTAATAAAATTACCACACAAAAATATTAGGTACATGTTTTTTATTCAGTCCACAAGTCTCTTTGTAGGGACTCTACAGGTAATCGACGATCGCAGGAACCAGACGTCTCGTATCTTTGACGTTACCACGTCCCCGTTACCGGTCTGGGTACTTTATGTCCAACATAAACATAAATGATACGATATACTATCATGTGAAGGAAGCCATAGGATTTTTTGACATATCTTTTAGTTACCGACACCCACGAGACGAGATCAGAGCACTCTTTACTGGACTGTAGAAATTATTTTATATCCGGATTACCGCCAAACTGCAGTGCAACAGCTGATGAAGTTCCGCTCTTCAAACGAATTGGCGATCGTACTGCCTGATGTTAAAATCGTGAAATATAGCCTGGATACTTTAGTCGGGCATATTACGTGATGACTGACTCTCATCTTTCATGGTTCAAGTATTTATCACTTAAATAAAATAAAATCTAAAAACTACTTACACATACAAAAGCTAGTGATACCTACATCTATCTATACATAATATGTAAATGATGGCAATATCGTCCTGGCTAATTTAAAACGGAGTCACTTCAGATTATACAACCGGAAGTTGTTAATTAAGCAAGATAAAATGTTAGGTGTATTTCCATAGGTCTTAACAGAAATTGTAAAAAGACACTCCTTCCTGCACCGTCTGATACCCAGATACGAGTCAAAAAATAGATACGTGTCAAAAATCGAATATTATTAACTTACATTGTAAAAAGTGGGCTAGAGTTGAGGTTCAAACTTAGTTTATTAAGCAGTAATTTTAAGTTTTTTTAAAACTAAGGTAAGCAGATGGATAAGAAAAGGAACATATACTACCGTAATTAAAATCGAATTCTAATAAATTTCTTTGTCAGACGATAAGGGATATGCAGTAAAACCCGTCTGATTTATAGATGCAGAAAATTGCTAAAATTAAAAACAAAAACATAACGTATTCAATTTTATCTCCATGTAGGAGAAAGATAATAAAATCCAAAAATATTTTTGCGGCAACGATATTATAGGAAAGGGGGCAGACAATCACGCAGTTCACTTGATGGTAAGCGCCTACAGCCGCCCATGAACAACCCTACAACACTAGAACAAATTGCAGGCCTTTTAAAAACGTGTAGACTTTTATTTCTTGAAGGTTCTTGAAGGAGTCGTAAGATTTCACAAAGTACTATAGTCAAAGAATATAATTATACACTACGCGAAAAGAAACGACAATTAAGCATATGTGCACGTAAAATCGCTTGCGGCTATGTGTGGTTGTCTGGATGTGTGCGGGGGCCTTGAGAGGCGCGCGGGGCGTGGAACGGGCAGTCGCCGAGTCGCCGACTGCCCTGGCCGAGGGCTAGTAGTAATCTCGATATTTGTCAGTATTAGTTAATATGAATATATTCGTCAAGTGATATAATATTTCAAGTAATATATGAATATTACCGATATCTTAATGTACATATTACTATTCTATTCATGTAGATATTAAGTTTATGTTACCAAGTAACGGTAATAGTTTTTATAGCCGTGTATGCTAGGTTTATATGCTTTGATAAATATTTTTGTTTTTATTAAATAATGATATTATAGTATATGTATAAGTATTACTGAAAGTTATTTTAAGTGATTACAATTAAAATAAATTGCCTTGTTTTGTTAGTTTAATTTTTAATAATGTTTTATGATACCTAAAAATATGTGAACTCATTTTAATGAATGTCGATATGATCTTAACAAGAATTATGGGGAAATACCATGGCAATAAAACTAATATATCGCCAATAATTTTATTATATTACATTAACTGAAATATACACTATTAAAAATACCACTAGAGAGTAAAGAAATTTTAGATATCTATAAAGGGTTTTTGTATTTATTCATTGTTGTATTTATTCATTAGAAATAGAAATGACTTATCTCCTCAACACATAGGGAACAATTGGTTGGCCGCTATGTCCCAGGAAGCCTGCATACCTTTGGATTTTCTAAAAAAAATATACATGCTACGAATTTTTGCAATTGTTAGAAATAATATTGAAAATTAAAAAAAATTATCGAAAAATTCAAAAATATATACCTAAGAGTAAATTATTTTTAAAGTATAGTAGGTAATACTGATTATTGCGTACTGAAATACTAAATGTTGGTTAATTCTTTAAGATTACCATTAACTGTCGTGCACATTTGATTTTGTCGGAAGTTTTAATATTCCTCATTTAATAAAAGTTGATTTAAAATTGAACGTATTTTTCACTACCTAAATACATTAGTTTACATAATATATAACACATACCTACTATGTATCTTCTTTGGTACAAGTCTATAATATTTCATTTCGGTTCGATATCAACCCTAGCGTTACACGCATCGACTCAAGGTCACCGGCGCTTAAGCTCTCACGTACAGGGAGTGTCACCGCTGTGCTATAGTCGAGTGAAAAACATAGCTTCTGGAATATCGCCCAGCAGGGGACCGACAAGTATACAGATGGTGTATACTTGTCAAGTGTGTCAAGTTAGATATATAGTTAGATAGTCAATAGAGATTTGTCACGATGTGCGATGTTAGAATTTGACGGTTGGAAATAATCCGAAATTCATCACAGCATTCCCAGTGGTAAATGCGATGAAAAATTACAGAGATGTAAATCTCTTATCAACGTCAGTAAATCAAGCCGATCAGAAAGTATCTGCTCGGGCGTCAACAATTCTGGCCGCTCTTCACACTAGATTATGCGGCCAAGTGAAAGCAATTGGCACTTATAAGCCGTGGCCGTAGGTGAGAACTTTTAGGCTTTGTAAGGCCGAACTTAGTCTTAAGTTGCAAGCGGCATGCCGATATGAAATACTGTCTCGATCCACCAAGTACTTTAATTTCGTATTATTTTTACACGACACATACGACAACACCTATCTAGAAAAACTTGAAAACTGAAAAAAAAAAACACTAATAGCAGGACTATTTAAATTATCTCTTTGGTGAAATTATCAATAATATTGCGCGGGCACTTAAAGTGCTTCAAAACACGAAACATAATCATTACCGCTGTTTTCGAGGACGCGATTAAAATTGATCGCATAATATTCCTATAAATAGGATTCTTAGCTTCACGCAATTGTATTTAATATTGTTTTCTTAAATTCAGATAACAAAAAGATATCCCTAGCCCGCAGTAAAAACAAAATAACCGACTTCCAACAGGTCTAAGGTAGTCTGAAGAAGCAATGGATCTTCCAAACTCTAAGAACGGATATAAAAACGGATGGGGAAGAAAGGTTAAGTGGTAACTTGCAACCGCAAGATCATTGTAATATGCTGTTGCTTTATGGATAATGTAGGCGGCCGTGCACTAGGGGTATGTTCCGAAATACAACCCAGTACACTGGCCAATGCAAATGACGTCATAAATCGACGCCATTCTGGTGATTCGTTGCATGGAATATGGTGGAATATTCAATTAATGACGTCATTTGCATTCGCCAGTATACTGGAAACATTTCGGAACATACCCTAGATTAAGAGACCGACATACAGGTCTCATACTGTCTTATTAATAAAAATTGCTTATTCCAAGCTTAATTCGAAGTAACACTTGGACTAGCTAGTCTCAGAGTAACTGACTAATTATTTACTTCGTTATTACAATGTTATTAATAAATATGGAGTGACCTCGGACTAACTACACATTCCTTACGCCGGGATTAACGCTTGCGCTATGGCAACCCACTTATTTTAAATGTAAAAAGAGTGAGTCAGTGAATGATTAGTGAATGAATTCAATGCTTGATGATGACATTACTGACAGTAACAGGCAGGCAATATTTTGAAAGAGCGTGAGGGCCAAAATTAATTAAATAACCATTTTTGTTTTGTTTTTTGGGGATAAATAAATCTTTTGTACATGTAATTATTGTATATTTATTAAAAAAAAATCGTTAATAAATGCTGCCCGAACAGAATTTCCTCTAACGGAGTTAATATAAATTAATTGATTTATTTACTTAGTTCAAACTTTTTGTTTTTATTTTTTTATTACCGAAAGTTTATTTCAGGTTAGTGGTATCTATTGACAGTTAAATTTCATAGTATGTTAATGTAAAAGCAAAAAAAAATGTTAAATATCAGTGCCAAAGGCTTCTATTCCGTTCACCTGTCTTGTTATACCCTACTTTTTTCCAGACGGTAAAAATCATCCAAATAAATGTACACACATAAGAATATTAATAAAAATATGCATAGAAAAATATTTTGCCACTATTGTTTTTTTTTTTTACAGAAGAGCGGGCAAACGATTATACGGTTCACCTGATGTTAAGTGCACCGACCCGACAACCGCAACACCAGGGGAATTGCAGGTGCGTTGCCGGCCCTTTAGAAAGGAGTAAGCTCTTTTCTTGAAGGTCCTCAGGTCGTATCGGTCCGGAAAAATCGCCGGTGGTAAACTATTCCACAGAGAGGTCGTACGCGGATGAAAACTCCTTGTGAAACGTACAGTTGTTGACCACCAAGCACCCAGATGGTATGGATGGTATCGGGAGGTTTGCCGCGTAGTGCGTTCATGCAATTTGGCGGCTGGGGTTAATCTGAACAATTCCTCAGAGCACTCCCCATGATAGATGCGATAAAATACGCAAAGAGATGCAACATCTCTTCGCAGCGCCAATAAATCGAGCCGATCGGAAAGCACTCGCAACAACAACAACAAAAAGCAACTATACGAAATATCCCCCAAGATTGGCTGCATTTATTACATGAATGAAAGAACGAATACCTATATAATATGAAAATAAAAATATATAAGTTGGCCAGTACCTACAAACATAAAGAAATTGCATGGCATGGTGCAACTGCAATCGGTTGAATAGAACCGAGAATATATAGCTTCAACTTATTTTCTCGTTACGTTTTTTTTGTATATTGACAATT